CCGTTTTCATTAAATCCAAAATTTAATAAAAAAGTTGATTCTTTTAAAGATTTTATAAAATATTTTAAAATTTTAAATCAGAATATGCTTTTATTAAATCTTATTGCATTCTTTAAAAAAATTTCAAAATTTCTTTTTATTCTATAAATGATGAAATTATTTACTTTAATTAATAAATAAACACTTGAAAATAAAATGTAATGCTATTTTATGTAAATTAAATCTTTTTCAAGTTTGAGCGTAAAGTAATTGTGACATTGGTAATTTTTTCATTCAAAAGTTAGATTTTTATTATGAATACAGGAACAAAATTAATCTATTAGTGTTTATCAAAACCTATTGTAAGTTTAGGCTTTGTATTTTTAGCAATATTGAAGGTTAAGTTTACAAAAATTATTAAGCATTTATTTTAAGACTTTTTCTTTATTTAGTAATTATTAAATTCATTACTTTTCTCTATTAAATTATGATGAATAACAATTTTGGAAAATAAAGATGACTTATAATATATATTGGTAATTATTTTCAAATTATAAGGATAAACTTTTTTCTGATAGATAAAATAATATTACTTAGCCATGTTTTAGTTTAGAAAATCTTAATTGATTTATAAAAAATTTGGATTAAAATATTGCTTTAATAAATTAAGAATGAGAAATTAAAAAATTGATTTCTATAATGTTGAAGAGTTAAATTTTAATTTCTTTATATAAATGATTAAATATTAAAAAAAAAATAAATTCATAAACATATGAATTTTAAGTTTTTTATTAAAATTGAATCAATTTGTTTTCCAAAATAGTTGTTTTAATATGAGATCACTATCTTGATAATATTTTATGTTATATTAAATTATTTTTTTTTATAACAAGAAGATTAAAAGTTGGAGCGTAATTTATGAAAGAGTTTTCTATCTTTTCTACATAGATAATTATAAAATTAAATGAAATATCGCATTTTAGTTTTAGAAAGTAAAATTTATTATAATAAAAAATTAAAAAATGAAAGAAAAAAATACTCTCATCCCTGGATATGAAGCAAAATTATTGTCTGAATAAAGTGAATTAAATTTTTTAAGTTCAAGGGTGAACTACAGTAAATCAATATTTCCAAAGACATCCCCATTTTAAGCTGATTTTTATTTTTTTCCTACAAACGAGAAAAAGCAGTTCAATTATGAAAAGAAAAATGAATTTGTGAGGAAATTTGTAGATAACATGTTAGATCTAATATGGAAAGTGAAAAAAATAAAAAATTTTCATTTGACCTTAATAGGAGACTAAGGGTCTTCAGATGAATTTATTTAAAAAAAAAAGTCATCCACGTTTACTTAATTAAATCAAAAACACTTAAGACTTATTTTAGATTTAGAATAAACAATAAAGAATAAGGTGGAAAAACTACCTTTAATACATCCTGGTTAATATATAAAAGTTATTTGGGATATAGTAGCTGTAATTGCAAGATTATATTTTTTGTATATAATCCCTATTGATTTAGCTTGGGTTACTTAATAATTTATATTTCATGATTTTAAATACATTTCAATACTGTTTCTGCTTATTTTAATTTTTGATTTGTTAATTAGTTTAAATACAGTTTACTTTTAAAATGGAGAAGCTGTTACATCTAGAATTATGATTGTGAAACACAGTCTTTATAACACCTATGGATTATAGTGGTTATCAGTATTTTAATTATTAATTTATTTCATAATTGACAGATATATAAATATATCATTAGATATTGATAATAATGTAATAAATATAGGTTTGCTAATATTTTTAGTTCATCATAAAACAATAATAAATTATGCAAAAAATTATGAGGAAGGATTAAATATCTCTAAAAAAACATCATCTATATTTGCTTTATTTAAATTGATAGCTTTTTTATTTTATGTGATTCATTTATTTTCTTGTTTTTGGTTTTGGGTAAATTATTAATAATAATTTAGGTTGGAAGATATAGTATCGAGAATTATGATGGAAAGAGTTGGATTATGTCAACTAATATGTTTGAATAGCATTGGAATACATAATATCTTTAATCCTTTTATTATACAGCAGTAACAATCTTCACAGTTGGATATGGAGATGTAACTCCATAATCTAACATAGAGAAAGTAGTGACTATTGTGTTAATAATGATATCTAGTATTTAGCTTCCTTATAGTGTTAATACAGTTGGAAATATAATTACAGAAATGACAGCATTTTCAGAAGAAAGAAAAAGGAAGTTAAGGATTATCAATTCTTATATGAATAAGGGTAGGATGTCAACTGGTTTATAAATGTAAATCAGATAATATCTTACATATTATTGGGAAAACATAGTTATATCTTAATCTGAAGAAGAGAAAGAGATAATCGATAGTTTATCTGAGTTTTTGAGACAATAATTAATTACTGAAGCTCATTAGAAAATATTTGATTAATGCACATTGTTTAAGATACCATTTAGTGAATTATTCAAACAACAATTAATTAAAGAAGTAGAGGAAGTGCTTCTTACTCCTGAATAAGACTTAAAATCAGCAAATGATATTTTTTTGTATTATATAGAAGATGGTTCAATTTAAATTTGTTTATAATAAGGTAGAAAGATTAATTTAGGAGTTGTTAATAAAGGAGCTTCAATAGGTATAAAGAACTTTATAATGGGAACTGAGTCTTTAGAGACCTATAAAAGTGTTGGATTTACGAAGGCAATGGTTTTAAAAAGGAAAAACTTTCTTAAAATATTATAAGAGCACCCAGATGATTAAGAATTATTTTGTGCTGTAAGAGATAAAATGGTTTTATATTAAGATGATTAATATTTTACTGTTTCTTGTTTTTCATGTGGAAAGGAATCTCATAAATTAATTGAATGCCCATTAATTAAATTTGTACCAAATAAGGAATTTATTATTAAAAAATATCTTTTTCCCCAAAAATAATCTAGCAAACCATATGTAAGAACAAAAAAAAAAACAAAATCATTAATCCTAGATAAAAAAAGACTTGAATAGTCAGCTCTTTTAATCTAAAAAGAAGATCCTATTTTATTTTAGTTATATAAATTTGATAATATGTATAATATAGATGAAGAATAATAATAAAAACGAAACATAAGATTAGCAACTTCATTTTAACACATTGATAATTAAAATCCATAAATTAAAAAGAGAGAGAGATATTTTTCAATATAAGATTAGAATTAAAAAATAATTAAAAAAAAATTTTAGCGTCTTGTCAATAAATTGATATCAATAAATAAAATATATCCTTATTTTTTAATTTAAACATATGTTCAATATGAAAAATAGATTGAATAACGATAAATTAATATGACCTTATAAATTTTGGAATAAAGATGTAAGAATATTCTATAATTTGATAACAAACAGTTTTAAAAATATTCTAGTGATATGTCATTAATTATATAAAAATTATCAAATAAATAGTATATTGATGATTAAGATTTTGAAAGTCCATAAACATTTAAGTTTTATTTTAGAAAAGATAATTTTTCAGTGGTCAAATAGAAAAATTTTCTCTAAAATTTAAGTATTTTAAAAAAGTTTATCTAATATGTCCAATACCCAGGAGATTTAATTAGATAATTTAACTTAACTTAAATTGGATTTTTCTTATTAATGAGTAGAAGAAAGCCAGTGATATGTTTTTCAGCTGACCATATTATAAAATGATATGTATTAATGGTTTATATTTAAAAATAATATATATTAAGTGGCTTTTATAAATTAACTCATTAATTAAGGAAGTTCAGTCGGTTTTATTTATTTAGAATTAGATAAATTTATTTTAATTATTCCTATAAAAAATAATTGATTAAAATAAATAAAATTTAATTTAACTTGATTTTATAAAGTTTTATATTAAAATGAGATTGAGTATAATAAAACTAAAAATAGCAAATAAATTATAAATGCTATTAATGAGTTATATAAGGAATAAACATTTTGAATGTTGACAGCTTAATAAAAAATATAATTTTTAGAATTTTAATGATTTAAGAGATAAAAACCCCGAAGGAGCAAACTCCTTTTATTTCTGAATATGATGAAAAGGACAGGCCATTAAGAAAAAACAAAAGCACTCGCCATTTTTTTTCAGACTAAAATAAAAGTCCATCTGAAAAGCAGGAAAGGAAGTTGGTGTATGCTAAAAGATTTTTAAATGTATTAAAAAAAAGAGTGGAGGATAAAAGTCTAATATCAAATGAATTGATAGATTATGTAGGTGATAAAGCAGCATAGAAACAAAAGAATGGATTTAATCTAAATATAAAGTTGCTTTCCACTCATTTGGAGATGGAAATAAAAATGAAGTTTAAAGAAAAGATGAAATAATTAATAGCTTCATCTTTTGGGACATTAATACTATGGATATAACGAATAGAATTATTTAAACCAGAATCTCCTGTAAAAGTAATTTGGGATTTTGCATCTTTGATATCTCGTTTGTACTTTTTGTTTTTAATACCACTTGATGTAGTATGGAATAAGTACTCATTTATGTTTGATATTTACAATATATAATCATTTGTATTTCTGTTGATTTTGTTAGGAGATTTATTAGTAGGATTAAATACTTCATATTATACTGAAGGGATTTTGGTAACTGATCGAAAAAAAATAGTAAAACATAACTTTTTAAAGTGTTATGGATTGGAATGGATGTCAACAATATAAATAATGATATATTTTATATTAACATAGAATGATGAGATTAATGATAAAATAAAAGATTATAGAATAAATTTAACATTGATAACATTTTTAGTTCATTATAGTACAATATAGGAATGTTTAATATATTATGAGGAAGGTTTAAATCTAAATAAGAAAGCATCATCAATTTTAGAGTTAATAAAATTGGTTGGGATTCTATTTTTTATAGTTCATTTTTTTTCTTGTTTTTGGTTTTATGTATGAATAAATATTAACTTTAGATAGGAGAATATAGTCATCAAATGTATGGTACAAGTTGGATGGAGAAGATTGTAGATGAGAATTGGACTGTATAATATGTTCATTCAATGTATTTTTCAGCAGTAACTATTTTTACAGTTGGATATGGTGATGTGACTCCATAAAGTAATATTGAGAAAATAGTTTGTTGTTTATTTATTGTATGTGCAAGTCTTTAACTTCCATATAGTATTAATACAGTTGGAATGATTGTTTAATAAATTACTGAGTATGGAGAAGATAAAAGAAAAAGGTTAAGAATTATAAATTCATTTATGTAAAAGAAACAAATTACTTTTAATTTATAAAATGAAATAAGATAGTATTTGAATTATTTTTGGTAATTGAATAAAGAATCAGATGCATAAGATGTTAATATGATAATAAATTAATTGGCTGAATCATTAAGAAATAAATTAGTCTAAGAATCTAATGCAATAATCTTAAATTAATGTGCTTTATTTAGATATAGATTTACATCAGCTTTTAAGGCAGAATTAATAAAGAGTCTAAAAAGGAAGATTATGCCACCTGAAACTATGGTAGCATAAAAAAGTTAATTAATTTATATTGAACAAGGAGAAATAGATTTATATGGAGATAAAATGTGTAATTTGAAATTGAGTTCTTTTTCTTAAGGTTCAACATTAGGTTTAATATCATTTTTATTAGGAAATGAAAAATCAGAAACATATAAAACTCATGGGTTTTCATTAGTAATGACTTTATCTTAGAAAAAATTCTTTCAAATTTTATAGAAATATCCTGCTGATTATGAAATATATTGTTAAATCAAAGATTATTTGATATTTAATGGTAGTGAAACAAGTATATTTCCTAGAAGATGTTATGTTTGTTAAAACAATTAACATTATTCAAAAGACTGTCCAACTGTTCATTATGTGCCTGATAGAGAAAAATTAATAAAATAATTAACAATTGATTAATAATAAAGTAGAGCAATCTTTTAAAGACGATTAAGAAAAATTGGTAGATTTAAGAAAATTAAGGAATAATTAGAGAAAAATGCATTTATTATTTAATAGTAGAATATTGATATTTTAAAAATTTATGATTTACCTGAGAAAATAGAAGAAAATATTAGAATTAATAGTTTAGATGGTTATAAAAATATAAAGAAGGGATTCAATTAAAATAAAGCACTAAAAATGAAGTTTTAAAAATTTGTTCGTAAGGTAGTATTAATTAATAAATCATATCCTCATTTCATTACAAATGTTTGTTAATAATTTAGATCATGCACAAATTATTTTAGTACAATTTCATAATTAAGATAAATGTAGATAAGATATGATTATTTAAAATAAATAGCAGGAATTGATCTACATTTATTGGAAATACTTGATTTTTACATAAAAAAGAATATGTAAAATCCATTTATAAACAATTTGGAATTTGATTAGCCAAAGAATTTCATTCATTATAATCCAAAATACAATTTCAATAATGTAAAAGTCAATATGGATAAAAATAAAATGAGAATTGTGACTTAATTTTTATATTATGTTTTTTATCCAGCCTAAATAATAAGATAAGTAAGAGCAACTAAATGTACAGTCGATTTAATTACATATAAAAGAAGAAATAATATTATAAAGAAGTGATTAATATAAGTTATTATTATATAAATATAGTAAAATTAATGAAAGCATAACAAGCAGCAACTTTGTTATTAGAAGAAACACTTTTTCAAGTAGATTTAAGAGCAGAATAACTTAAAAGTTATTTAGAGAAAGTTACTAATACAGTTAATGGTCATTCATCATATTTAAATAACTTATAAGTTCAATTGAATCAAGTACTCAAATTATAAGATGTATTAAAATCATTTAATAGTTTTATAGTATGAAACATATTTATAGAGAACAGCTAGATCTATGTCTTTACGTGATCAAGAATTTGAACAGTAAGTTTCTTTTCAGTTGGAAAAACCATTAGCTGAAAATGGATCAGATTAAATAGAGAATGCTATTTGTATGGTTATAAACAAAGAAAGAGTATTCAGTTAAGGAATGTCATATCTATTTAAACGAAGTAAAGATTGGGAAGCTAAATTAAATAAATTAGAGAGTGATCTTATGAAAAGAGCATTGAAGGATGAATTAGAAAAGGGTTTGAAGGAACAAAAAACTAAATTGTCAGATCAAATTGAAGATTTGAATAAGAAGCTTACTAAACGATTTTAGGATTAAGAAAGATTAGCAACTTAAAATTAAAATCAGTTACAATAAAGTATTAATGAATTAGAGAAAAAAACATTATGGAAAATAAGTGATTGTGAAAAATTATTGTAGTAAAGAATTAATGATAAATTTGTGGAAACTTCATGTTAAGGTGTTTATGATAGAGTTATGAGAGATATTGCAAAATAAAAAGATGAAGGAATCAAAGCTGTATAAAATGAAATAGCTGAATTAAAAGCTAAATTTTAATATAATGAAGAAAGAAATTAAGACAATTTTAAATCATTGAGAATTTAATTAAAAGAAATGAATGATACTATGTAATAAAAATACACTCCTCTAGAAAAATTTGATTAAACTAAGTAAATTTTAAATGATAGAACTGTTGATTTATAAAATAAAGTTGGAGAATTGTCTAGAAAAATGGATGCTATTCTTTAGTTAGAAAAATTGATACCATAAATTAAATCTATGGATGATAAAATAGCTGAATGTTAATATAGAGGTGAATAAAATAGAAAAGATATAGAAGAATTAAAAATTAAAACTGAAAATTTTGAAGGTTCATCTAAAGGAGGAAAAAGTGATATTGATCCTCATAAAGTATGTTCTTTAGAAGCAGATATTAAAAGATTAAAGAGTGATTATACTGATTAAGAAAATAAATTAAGATTATTAGAAAATGAATTAAAACGAAAAATCGATGTAAATGAATAAAGATTCCTTTAATAATTGAATCTTTTAAAATCAGCTCCTTAATAATAATAATTATCTAAAGAAGATGTTATATCTATTATTGATAAGGAGATATCATAACCTATGAGCTTATTAAGAGCAAGAATATTGTAAATTATAGGCTAAGCTTGTGGAGAAAACATGTCTTTTGAAATGTTTATTAGAAATCTTTTAAATGATATTGCTGATTTGAAAAAGAAAATGGAAGGAATTTAAGATCTTGATAAGAAAATGAGAAAGTATATGAAATAAATGACATCAAATGATAATACTGATTTGTAGAAACAACTGGCAGAGTATGTATATAAGTTTATACTTTAGAAAAGCAAATGAAGAAGATACTAAAGCTAAATTCACTGCTTTAGAAGAAAAATATAAAACTATGGCTGAAAATTATGGTATCTTAGCCAAAGGAATGAAAGAATTAGAAGAGTTCTCTAATTATCTTCAAACATTACTTTAGTAATTATAATTCCTATCTTAAGTGTTAATCAATAAGAGACCGTGAGCATCTTAACTGGAAATCATCGTGTTGTTACATAGAGATGCTTAGTTTGTTCAGGAAAAACTAAATTAACAAAAACTGTAGATGTAATAATTATTTTTTTAAAATAGAAAAGTTAAGATTTGAATTAAGCTAAATTAGTTAGGGGAGATTTGAGACCTAAAGATTTGCTTTATGAAAATTCTGAAGTCTATGAACTAAGTATATTTCATTCTCAATTTTAGATCCCAATTAAGTAAACTATACTTCAGATAATTAAAAATATGTTGGAACTACTGTTGGATTCAAATATCCAATGCTTAATTAAAATAAAGCAAGTATTAACGCAATTTCTAATTTCATTTTTAGATGATCCTTCCTCTAGTTCTGGTAGAATGATTAGACCATAGAGTGCTACATAAAAAAAATATTGAATTTATTAAACACAGTATATTGATTAAAACTTATATTTAATTGCCTATATTAATAAGATTTATAGTAAATTTTAAAAAGTTAATTAGTATTTTTACATTTTGAAGTTGTTTTGCTATTTTTCAGTGCTCTAAAACCTTTTGTTTTGTTATTAAAATTAAAGATTTTATTGAAATTCTCAAATTTTTCTCAAATTGTTTAACTTAAAATATATAAACATAAAAACTCATTTAATTCATTCAGTTTTTATAGAAAGACATTTGCTTTAGCTTCTAAAGATCTTTTAGGAATTTATCAATAGTTTAAATTCTAAATCAAGATAAATAGTACCTCTAAGAATAATCATAGAAATGTTATCTTGAATTTATATTTTATGACAACTGCTAAGTTTCTTCTTCAAATTATTATGGTTAGTCTACAGGCATGCTGGCTTACAAATTATTTCTGCGTTTACGAAAGGTACTTGAACTCATGAAGGAATATTATATAATTATTGATTAAAATAATCTTATCTCTGTTCTTAGAATATTTATAACAGTATGAAGAATATTCTAAGAAGAACTTGGAAACATAATTTATCTTATTGAATTCATAAATGAAATGGAAAATAAATTTGTGCATATCTTTTGATAAAGTTAATATTGAAAGAATCTGATGGTGTTATTGAATGTCCTGATATTAACAATGTATGTCAAATTAATAAATTAAGCCTTAAATTTTAGGTTTGCTTACTTTGTAATTGATTTTAAATTAATTGTGGAAGATTTTAAATTATTTAATGATATTTTAGAATAGAAATTCGGAGTAGTTAAGACATTAAGTAGATGATTGATAAGTATATTTTAATAAGGTAGGATTGTAAAAGAGAGAATGATGAAATAAAAAATTAATCGCATTACTTAAAATAAGTTAAAATTAAATTAATATATTGCATATCTGGAATCAAATCACTTTTTCTTTCCTGATGCTAATTTAGACTCTGTAAATATAACATATTGATTGACTAATGGATCATACTTTCTTAAAATCAATTTAGAACCTACTTTCCTAATTTTAATAATGTTCCAATTACTTAGTGCTTTTCTCTCCATAATAATAGAAACCTGTGCCAGCTGAACTTACTAATTTGAATAGCAATGTTGTCTTTTTGCCCATATTATTAAATATAAATTTTAATATTGATAATAATTAACTTTCATGATTAGAAATATTATTCATCTAAAGCAGGTAAAATTTTTCCATTACATCTACCAAAGCCAACACGATTTCTAAGATAATAAAGATTAAATACTCTCCATCTCCTGCATATCCTCTCATTTCAAGGACATCTCCGTCTTCTAGAAACAATCTCTATTCTCCTGACTTTAATACTAATGGTTCTTTTCCATTCCATGTATATTCCATTAAACATCCTCTTCCATCTTTAGTAGTTCCAGAGATCGTTCCTGATCCAAAAAGATCTCCAGGTTGAATATTACATCCAGTAATTGAATGATGTGCAATTTATTAATTAACACTCCAATACATATATTTAAAATTGCTGGTAGTAAAATGTTCTAATTCAGGACTCTTTTCTGTTCCAATAAACACTTCTAATTTAATATCGAAAGAAGTATGACTATAGTAAATAATGAATATATAATTACTTCTTTTCTTTTAAATAAATAAAAGGTTCTGGATCTTATTCTGGTAATTAAATACGGAATGGTTCTAAAGCTTCTACAGTGACAATCCAAGGTGAAATAGTAGAAGCAAAGTTTTTAGCACCAAAAGGACCTAAAGGAACATATTCCCAAACTTAAACATCTCTGGCTGACCAATCATTTAAAATAACAAATCCAAAAACTCTATCTTCAGCTTAATTCACTTTTATGGGTTCACCCAAATTATTTGAAGTTCCACCTATTACAGCTCCAATTTCTAATTCATAATCTAATCTCTTGCATTTTGTAAATGATGGTTTTTCTGCTGTTGGAGCTTTTACTTATCCCCAAGGTCTTCTAATATCAGTACCATCAATAACTATTGATGATCGTCTTCCATGATATCCAACTGGTAAATAATACCAATTTGGTTGCATTGCATTATCTGGTCCTCTTATTATTGATCCCATATTAAAAGCATGATTCTTTGAAGAATAAAAATCTGTATATTCTCCTATTGTTATTGGCATATGATTTTTTACTACATACATTATAATCTTATTATACTATCTTTAACTGGTGTTATTATCTAGCTCAAAACTTCTTAATTATTTTCTAATTGACTACCACATTAAAATAAAGATTGGATCTCAGATCTTACTTCCTTCCAATGTGGTCTAGATAGAGATACAAATTTATTTAAGTTTCCTTCATCAAATACTCTAGATCCCAAAGTTGATAACAATGGTCCCTTAAAATATCCCAACTCTTCCAATTTAGATAAATTAATTACAGAATCCCCTAATTTCATCTATCAAATTCAATTACCTATTATTGTTGCAGCAAAAGGATTTCCATTTACTTTAGAAGCTACTCCAAAAGGTATATTTTTAATTGTGAAATCAGAATCCTTAGGAACAAGGAGAAATCCTTAAATTTCTTGTTGCATTAATACGTAAACTAAGATATTTATTATCATTTAACTTTACACAGATTATTTATAAAGAGTATTATTATTTAATCATTAAAGATATTTATAATACATTTGATATGCAATTAGATTATTAATTTTTCTGCTTCTCTATTATTCTCAATCTTATATTTTAACTAAACTTTTAGTTATTTTCCAAACTTTTTTAAAACATTTAAATTAGTTGATTAAAGTGTATAATGCCATAGATATATGTTAATAATTCAGATTGCTTCATATTAAGGTGGATTCTTTGGATCTGCCTTTCTTTTCTTATATAGAATTCTATAACCACATTAGCATCTCACTATGTCTTTAGCTTCAAGTTATACATCCTTCCCACACTCTAATCTAAGCTATTGAAATTACTTCCACAAATGTAAACAACTCTAGATGCATCCTATATGTCCATTAATTAATTTATTTAAATACATGTATTCTAAAGAACAAATTACTAAAATTCGATAACTGATCAACAATTATTTTGATAAAGGTGAAGTATTTGATAAGTTAAAGAAAAAAATTGAAAGTGAAAAAATTCAAATTGATGATTTGGATAATGAAAAATTGACTAAATTACTTAGAGAAACTAATCTTATTGATAATCTCATCTTGGATATCAAACATTTAGATGAAATTGATGAATTTAATAAATAAAATAAACAGGTATGATCAAATCAGAATATTAAGCTCACATATGTAGACCCAGATCGTATTAATTATAGGTCAGTTAGTTTGAGAATTTTTAAAGGAAGAGCTTTCTTGGATTTTATTGAATCTGAAAATTCTAAATTGCAATTATATTTAAGTTTTTGTGGTTAAAGATATGTATCTGCTATTGTGGATGCCTCAGTAGAACCTGAGTTTAATGAACTCTTTTTGTTTGATTTAAGAACTGATACTCAAAAAGCAAATGTAGATTTGTTAACTTTAAGCAAATTAGATCACCCAATTGAATTATGTGTAATTCAAATTTAAAATGGGTAAAGAAAAATGTTTTCATAAAAATTAATTGAATGGAGATTTTTATTATGCTATGGAAACATTTCATTAAATATAGAACTTCCAACTACTTATAATACAAAAATGTAAAATGAAAGAAAAAATCATGTGGGTATACTCTAAATTCATTTGGAATTATTGCCAAAAACTGGATTGGCTTTACTTCCTGAAAACATAGTAGTTTCATAACTCTCAAAAGAGAAAGCAGTTATTAATTAAATATCAGATAGATTTCATACTTATGGTAATGCTTGGTGGAATGATTTTAAAGAACTTAAATTATCTGTAAGACCAATAAAATTATATTCTGAATCTTAAGATGCAATTTGGAGACCTTCTTGCACTTTTATAAGAGAATTGTAAAGTGTAAGAGGAATAATGAGTCCAAATCATGCAGCTAGATTTGTAAGTCTTATACCGATGAAAACATCAGATAGAGGTCCTTCAGGAGATAGATTGGAGGTTTGGCATAGATTTCCAACATTTTTGGCATTAAAAGGTGGAGATTTTGAGGATCATTGTTTATTGTTATGTTCACTTTTTTTAGGATTTAATTTAGATGCATTTGTAGTTTTTGGATCAACAGCTGATAGACCTCATGGTTGGGTTATGACAAGATTATAAAAACCTAAAAAACCAAATTAAAAATAGGCTGAATATGCATATAATTTTTGGGAACCTTTGACTGGTCATAAATTTGAATTAAATGATCCTAAGGTAATTAAAAATGAAAAATATAATATAGGTTCCTTAATTATATAAAAGAATTGGTTGTATTTTTAATAATAAATGTTTTTTTGCAAATATTCAAGAGAATGATTCTGTATTAAAGACTGATCTAAATATTGAAGATTATACAAAATGGAAAGCAGTTGATCCTAATGAAATATCTTTATTAAAACCATNCAGAATATTAAGCTCACATATGTAGACCCAGATCGTATTAATTATAGGTCAGTTAGTTTGAGAATTTTTAAAGGAAGAGCTTTCTTGGATTTTATTGAATCTGAAAATTCTAAATTGCAATTATATTTAAGTTTTTGTGGTTAAAGATATGTATCTGCTATTGTGGATGCCTCAGTAGAACCTGAGTTTAATGAACTCTTTTTGTTTGATTTAAGAACTGATACTCAAAAAGCAAATGTAGATTTGTTAACTTTAAGCAAATTAGATCACCCAATTGAATTATGTGTAATTCAAATTTAAAATGGGTAAAGAAAAATGTTTTCATAAAAATTAATTGAATGGAGATTTTTATTATGCTATGGAAACATTTCATTAAATATAGAACTTCCAACTACTTATAATACAAAAATGTAAAATGAAAGAAAAAATCATGTGGGTATACTCTAAATTCATTTGGAATTATTGCCAAAAACTGGATTGGCTTTACTTCCTGAAAACATAGTAGTTTCATAACTCTCAAAAGAGAAAGCAGTTATTAATTAAATATCAGATAGATTTCATACTTATGGTAATGCTTGGTGGAATGATTTTAAAGAACTTAAATTATCTGTAAGACCAATAAAATTATATTCTGAATCTTAAGATGCAATTTGGAGACCTTCTTGCACTTTTATAAGAGAATTGTAAAGTGTAAGAGGAATAATGAGTCCAAATCATGCAGCTAGATTTGTAAGTCTTATACCGATGAAAACATCAGATAGAGGTCCTTCAGGAGATAGATTGGAGGTTTGGCATAGATTTCCAACATTTTTGGCATTAAAAGGTGGAGATTTTGAGGATCATTGTTTATTGTTATGTTCACTTTTTTTAGGATTTAATTTAGATGCATTTGTAGTTTTTGGATCAACAGCTGATAGACCTCATGGTTGGGTTATGACAAGATTATAAAAACCTAAAAAACCAAATTAAAAATAGGCTGAATATGCATATAATTTTTGGGAACCTTTGACTGGTCATAAATTTGAATTAAATGATCCTAAGGTAATTAAAAATGAAAAATATAATATAGGTTCCTTAATTATATAAAAGAATTGGTTGTATTTTTAATAATAAATGTTTTTTTGCAAATATTCAAGAGAATGATTCTGTATTAAAGACTGATCTAAATATTGAAGATTATACAAAATGGAAAGCAGTTGATCCTAATGAAATATCTTTATTAAAACCATAAAATTTTTAGTTGACACTTTTAAGATAAACAATGCATGCTGATGAAATAGAACCAAAATTAGAATTGTAATTAAGGGAAGCCATAGGAAGTTATCGAAAAAGTATATATTTTTTAAAATTATAAGTCATAAACTTGGCTACAAGATATGATGAAAAACTTGGTAGTATTATGTAAATAGCATTAGTTAATTATGAAACTGAAAAAATTACTGGTATGTAAACTTTATATATATAATTAGGATTGTAATTTGCACAATTTGAATTTTAATCTGCAATTAGAAGTTATATACCAGAAGGACATACATTTATGAGTTTTCCTATTTGTTTTAATCACATGAATATATAAAAGATGTTAGAGGATATAAAAACATCTCCTGTTGGCGGAGAAGTACTTACTGCAAGAGGAGATTAAACATATCATGCTGTACGTGTGAAAATGGAAATCTATCCAGAAGACATTTATGCTGTCTGGGTTTCAGTCTCTGTAAGATTTCATAAAATTGTATGATTTTATAATAAACTTTAAATATAAACAATAAAATATCAAGTATTTAATTCAATAATTTTTTTTTACATTTAATAATGTACCTTCTCTATAGTCGCTTTATAAAGAGAGATCATATTAATTTTTATAATAAGGTAGTTTTTCATTCTTATCTATTTATGATTAACTTTACTGAGTATTCCAATGTTTAAATTCTTTATTGCTTTCATTATCTTTCAATTATTCATTAATTTTAATTTTTTAATTGCCCTTCTTTTTATTATTTCTAAAACTCTAATCTCTTTTTGAACTTGTTTATTTAATGCTTCCAATTTGATTCTTTGAAACACTCTAAATACTACCACCAAATTGCATCATTAAATTTTAATTTAATGAATTATTAAATTATTAAGAAATCTAATTAATCATCTATTATTGTGTCATGTTATCAGATTCAGATAAATCATCATCAAAGTCAAAATTATTAAAACTATATAGTTAAAATTAAAATAAATACTTTTATTTGTTTTTTTTATCATTATGAATTGAAATTTCGTCACTATCTGAAAAATTACCTTCTCTACAAATTTTCTAAAACATCAATTTAGAATAGGATTCCCAAGTCTTAAATAAAATGAGTACAGTTAAATAATCATGTAAAATATTGAAATTCGCTTTAAGTTATTTATTAGGACTTATATTTGATCTTTCCAATAATCTATTTTTTCTATAATACATTAATCTTAATTGCATTTCTTTATTGAATTATTTAATTTTGACAATAGAACTTTCAGAACCCTCTTTAAAAACTTCATTGACAAAACATCTTCTAAATAGTTCATACATCAATTAATTATACTATATAAAACCATAATGATCACTATTTTTAATGAAATGATAGTTACCATTATAGTTTAAAATTTGATGCTAATTTTGCAACATCCCATAAATTTTCTTCTCTTCCTCCACCTAAAGGTTTTCCAATATCTAAAAGAAACTTACATAAAAATTTATAATTCATTGCCTATCCTTATGTTTCAGAAGAGTATTTACACCAAACAGTTTTAATTTTATCAACATTTTCAACATAAGTTTGAATAAGAGAGTTTTATAATTAGAAAAACTATTCAAATTATTCAATTAATCCAAGCACAAAAAGATTAAGTAATACATAATTTGACAAAAGCATAAAAAGAAAAAAGAAATATTAATTATTTACATTTCCACAATATTTAGGATCATCAAGACAAAGTGGATTATGTTACATAGTATCTGTCATAATAGTTCTCCAATCATCTCCTGAAGCACATTTAAATAGAGCCAATAATGCTTAAGCTACATTTTAAAAGTTTATTTAATCATCCATAACTGCTCCACTATCTATTTATCCATATAATTAACAACCAATCAATGCAAATATTAACATTGCAATCATTAATATTGTAAAGATTTTACCTAAAAATGGCAATGCAAATACCATTACTCTCATCAATCTTTATAAATTTATTAATCCTTAAAATATAAGTATCACTCTTAAACTTCTAAGTGAAAAGAAAATTCTTAATATTTAATAACCTTTATCATAAGGAGTTGATCTATAATAAATCATTATCCAATCTACTGAATAATCAGCAATAAAATCTATTATTGACACGAAAATCAAAAAAAAATAAAATCTTCTCCAATAATTATCAAAAAATCTACCAACACCTAAAGCTAAAAATAATAATACTATCCAAACTACATATATTACAGTCAAACCATTATGAACATTATTCACTGCTCTAAAATAATCTTCACTCATATCTGATTCAAATAATAATAGAATTATTAAGTCTAATATAAGTAAGAGATACATGAAAATTAAAAGATAAGAATTATTTGTTATATCTGATGCAAATTTCCTTATACCATTTGTCGGAGGAGAACTAAATATTGGGAAATCTTTTATAATAATAGAGGAGATCTCTTAAAATTCCTTTTAAGACTAAGTTACATCTGTCATTTCTATCTTCTATTAATTTTCCTTCAAGTTTGAATATAATACCCCTGTAAATAAACTTAAAAAGAACATTGAACCAATAAACACAAATATTATAAAGAAAAAATATGTGTAAATATAACTATTAAATGGTTAAGGTCCTATATTTGATAATTAACTATTCTCTGCTACTTAATAAATTTCTCCCCAACCATCTAATGTTGATGTTACAAACAGAGTTGGAATTGCTATTGTAATGTTATCGAAATTATGTTTATAATTAATCCAATGTCCATTCTCTCTAGTACACTAATCAAAACTAACATCGAAATTCATTTTATCATCACAAAAACCAAAAGAACCTTCATAAAGTATTATACCGTAAACTCCAAACATAATCCAAACTGACAACATCGTAATTAAAACATTTGTGATATCAACTAAAGAGTATCCAAGAGCTATTCTTAATTAAGTTAACCAACTTATGCGAAATAATAATTTCATTGGTCTTAAATATCCAAAATATTAAAAAAAATTTAATATTTATGCATCAGATATACCAAATGTTATGAAGTGAGATATCATATAGATAATATCCAAAATTTACCATAAAGAAATAAAATAAGAACCTTTATCTAAAAATAATCCTTTGGCTATAACATTTATTACTATATCAATTGACATCCATATATTTATTATTAATTAAATGATATTGCATGTATTATTTGAACTATCCTCATAATCATAATAGGTATTCATAATAAATGTAACAAGAGAAGCATATAATACTAAGTCCATAAAGTATACATAAATTTTAGAAGTAGCAACCTTAGTACATATTATTCTTATAATATTTTCTTTCTCAAAAATATAAAGAGAACTCTAGCATTCAATTCCAGCATAAAGTTTTGGTGTTCGATTTAATAATTCTTTATTTAATTATTCTAAACTAAATAATTATAAAAATTACTGATAGATTTGAAAAAATTAGTTATTAAATCAACTTTTGATTTTGTTTAATTGTTTTCAAAAATAAAATGAGTTTAAGATCCTATTGGACTAAGAATAGTTTATTAAACTTGTTTTTCAAGTTCTTCATTTGAATTCTACGTTATTTCAGCATGTTATTGATCATTAAACAAAGGGGTATTTTCAGTTGATTAATTTAAATATTTTCCAAATCCATCCAATAAAACAGCCATAAATAAACCATATGTTAAATAATTCAATATTAAAACCATAGAATATGAATAAATTACTGCAAAAGTATAATTTAATTCACTACCCATAACATATACTCCATACCAATCATCATTAGTCATTATATTAAATATAGTCATGAATGCCTTAAAAATATTATTATATGAATGTAATTATCCTAATGTATCATTTTAATCAAATTCACCTGCAAACATTTCCATACCGACCAAAGCATACATAAAAATGACTAGAAACATTAAAAATGTCAAGTAAATATATTATTTAAATGTCATTGAAGCTATATGTCCAATTCTAACAGCCATAGCATTATATTTAAGACATCTGTAAAATAATAAACATTTTGTTCCTCTAATTAATCTTAAATTTTATTCACCAAAATCACTTAACAGATCTTTTATTGTTAATTCAATAATGTTTATAATCACTATTGCTGCTTAAAACATGTAATTAGGATTACTAGTGAAATCCTTTATTTTTATTGAAGTTATACGTAGAAATAATTCAATTGATAATAATATTGTTGAAACATTCTCAATTTAATGGATTGTTTTAGAATCAGCAATATTCCAAAGTGAAAGAAATGTAAAATTTATGAAAATTACTAAATCAAAACAAACCCTACTTGTTGAACTAGTTATAATTATATTTGAATATTTAGTAAAATTTAGAATTTTACCCTTTAAACCTTTCATCCATATCATAATATCTTTTTAGTTTAATTATGTAAAAATAAGATTGAAATACTCAAGGTTTTTTGTATTTAAAGTTAATATATCTTTTCCAGACCAATTACTTTTTTTTATTATTTTTCCAGATTATAATTCTTTTTCTCTCAATTTTCGATATTTAAATTAATTGCTTGTCAAATGATTTTTGATTATTGGAATTTTTAAATTGATTTTATCTTTTATTTCATCATAATTTATATAATAACCTTAAACAAATATCAAAGTTTAACCATCTACAATTTTAGCAAACTTTTTAGATTTTCTCTTCTATTATTCTTTTTTTTATTAATTCTAATTTTTATTTTTCTATTCTGGAAATTTTTCAAGCATTTCATAAGAATTCTTGCTTGTTTCTTCTTATTCTTTTTCTTCCTCTTATTTAAATTTTATACTCCATTTAAGTTTTCTTTTTTTTAAAGGAAAATAGGTTCTCTGTAATTATTTTTATTACTAAGCTTATTTCTTAATTAATTTAACTTAATTTGACCAATTTGGATATGAATGTTTAAATTTTGTTTTTCTCATTTTTTCAGGATTAAATTTTTTTTCTTCTTGCAATGCTAATTCAATCTAACTAATAATATATTGTAAATATACATGAATTTTAATAAAACATCGTTTTAACTTGAAAAACATTAATCCAATTAATAATTGACTTAAGATTATAAAGAAGAATAAGATGTATTTGATAGTTTTTATAAAATTTCTAATTCTAAAGGATCCTCAGAATAATTCTTAATGTTGATTTTTAATTATTAAAGTTTGAGTAATCTAAATTTTCTTAGTAAAATATGTTTGATAGTAAATTACTATATTTTAGTAAATAAACTTTAGTTCTCGAAACTCTAATTTATAAATTAGATTTAATACATGTTGGCCACTTAATTTTTTCTAAGCAGCCGATAATGTTCTTGCTTCTTACATATTTTTATTCATTTATGATTCTGATTCTAAATTTGAAACCATAATGATTTTGCTTTCAAAACATTCTCTATACTTTTGTATAGTAGAAAAAAAACCAATATATCTTAAAAATGCTACATCAAATACATTTATAAGTTCTCTTTCTGGATGCTCTTAATTATCTTTAATCAATTTATTAATTTCAGCCTCTTCTTATTTTTTAGCACTTTCTTCTGCAGCCTCTGCATAATGTGTTTTAAGAACTGCAATAACTAAATTGAATCCAAAAAATCCACCTACAAATATAATTAATAAATAATAGATCCAAATCCAAGGATGAAATATTCTCATAGTAAAAAACATTACCCAACTCCAATCATCCATTGTTATTGTTCTTAAAATTTAACCATATGAAAAAATCACATTATTAAATGATGTTGGCATTTTAGGAGTTTCATTTGTAAATTTGCATATCATACCATCTTCATAACAAGAATTTTAATGACATTAAATCCATCCAGCTGTTTCATCACCATTTTCAAATTCACATCTATAATTAAATAATCCTTAAAATAGAAATACTCCACATATTGCAAAAAAAAGAGAAAAAAGTCCAACTATCATTAAAGCTTCAATCAAAAACTTTATTGATTATTTTAAAGCTTTTAGCATTACTTATAAATCATTGAATATATCACCCAAATAAAATAAAAGTGTTATCATTCTCAATGGTGAAATATCAATTATAAATATTTCGGGATAATAAAGATTAATTGTAGTAGCAAATATTAAAGTGAAATCATAAATATCCTACATTCTAAGAAAAAATGCATTTTTTGTAAAAAAGAATCCAGAAACTAAAATTCTAACTATTATTTCAATAATAAAAAGTATTGTAATTACTTATTCTATTTCAAATGTATCTTCTCTATGTTCTGTCTTTACAACAATAAAAAGGAAGACATTAAATAATATTAAAATAGTCATCAATATTTTATATATCCTACTATTAATCATATCATTAGCTAATATAGGAAATATTAATGATAAAAAAACAACAAATTTTCTAAATTTTAAAAATTTAATGTTATCTTAATATTTCTTAAAATTAAATATAAATTTACTTTTAATTCATAAAATAATCTTTTTGTTCCTTTTAATGGTACTAATTAAATGTAAAATGGATCCTAAAATGGATTTCTTTAATAGTATTTTTCATATCTTTTAATTATTTTTTCATATGCTCCTTCATTCTCTAAATGATAATCTTATTCTAATGCAAAGAGTTCTACATATTTTGATAATTTTCCATGCTTTTATGTTTATTGAATTTCTTCATCAAAATCATCTTTAAATTAGTGGTTCTTATCATTTAATATATCGATAAATTATTTTGTTGGCTTTTATGATTCAATGTTAACAAATTGAATTGTTGGTATGGATTATTCAGAAAATTCAGAAGAATTCAATTAGTATTCGGCATACTCCCCTATTTCTCTTTCTTTTGGATTTCTATTTTAATTTGATATATAACTTTTTTTGAACAAAGAATGAAGAATGTGAATGAAGTGATGAATCAATTGATGCTTTTCGATTTTATTTCTCTTATTTGTTTAGTTTTGAAGATGAGTCTTACTTAACTAATTAAGTTCCAGCTTAAAATATATTAATGAATTAAAAATACATTAAATATGTAAAATAATGCTTTACTTTCTCTAAGCCAATTCTTTTGAAATTGTTAAACGTTTTTTATTGTTTCTTGGCTGATGCAATAAGTTCATTGAGAATAAAAAATAATAATTTAATAATAATTGCTAGTTAATATTTCAAACAAATTAGTAATACAATTTAATAATTACAAAGAAAGCTGCTTGAATTTATTTATATTATCCATAAAAATTTGCATCTTCTTTATTAAACATCAATTTATCAAGCAAAAATAATAAAGTGATGGTAAGAAGACAAAACGATTATATAAAACACTCATAATAATTATCCTTTATGAAAATATTGATATCAATAATTTTCTTGATTAAGTTATTGTAATGCTTATCTACTAGCATTTTCTAACATTCTGATATTTTCTTTAAATTTATCATTCGTTTCTTCTAACATCTTTCTTTTCATCTATTAATTTAAATAATTAAATACTTATATGATTTATTTTTCTTCTTCTCTTTTTTTCAATTGTTGTTAAAATTATTTTTTTATTAAATCAATTTCATTTTTTGATTCATCAAGATTTTTCTTTTAATCTTATAAATATTTTTTAACTTCTTCAATCTGTTTATCATCTAAAACCTTATTAAATCTATTTAAATTAAAGTTTAATTCGTCTATTTTTTTTAAATTTTAGCTTTTATTAATAATTTAACTTATCATTTTATCCTAAGCTTCAAAAATATAGTTATAATTCTTGAATAATTCTGTCAAATTTTTACAAGCTTTAATTTTGCCACCATCAGCTTCTATTTCAATTTCATCTTCATTCAATTATAGTTCATATTATTAATCAAACTTTTTCATAACTTCTTTAAATGTTTAAAGATTCTCTTATAACATTTAAATAGCTTATTTGCCATTAGTTTCTAAAGGAGCCTTATATAAATCACTTTTAAATTAATGCATATTTTATTAAGGATTTTCTAATTCTTATGGAATACTTTCATTTCCAAAATCTATTTTTTTTCTTTTAATGTAAACGTTTCTTCTAATTTATAGAATTTCTCCTAATTCATTATGTATCTTAACTAAATTTTCTCTTAGTTACTCATTTTCTTTTAGAAGTTTATTGTTGACTTCTTCCCATTTTTTCATAACTAATTGACTAAATTCATATTCTCCATTAGATGCAAAAACACTAGGACCTTCTTATTCAATAGGTTATGTCACTTCTAAACAATTTTTATAAGATTTTGAATTCTATTGTTTTTTTAAATGTTCTTTAAGTTTTTAAATATCTAAATCTCTTTACTTTAATTCATGTTCAAATTAACTTGATCTACTTTATAATTTAGATAACTATTTTTATAGATCTTCTCTCTCTAACATTAATTTATTACTAATTTAGATTATAATAAGAATACATTTATTCTTTCTAAACTTTTTCAGTACTCTTAATTTTAGCTAATAAAGTAGTATTTTCTTATTCAAGAATTTTTTTACTTGTTGATATTTTTTCAAAATTTAAAGATAATTGTAATTTTTCAGCCTCTATTTTATTAATTTTTTCAAGATAAGTGTTTTTAAAATCCATGTCTTCTCTTCTTTATTTAATTACTTCAACTAATCTAAATTAAAGTTAATAATAATTTTCATACACTTTGACAGTAAGATCTATTTCTGAATTAGAATTGCTATACAAATCACCTAGACTAGGAAATCCCATCATGATTAATTTTTCTCTGATGTTATTAATTTGATTTTGAAGAAAGTCTTTTTTATATTCATCATCAAAATTAGATTCAACAATTTTTTATTATTCTTCTTAATTTTCTTAAACTTAGAAAGAATAAGTGTTACGAGGTTGTGGTGGTTCTTGAATCTTTTCATCAAAGAGATACTATTTATAGTTTTCCATATTTGAATTAAATAATAAAAATTTAAACAGTCAATTAAGTTCAATCCTCAATAATATTTAGAAGCATAATTTCCGCTTACTTATGTTGATTCTTTAAATCTTTGATATGTTTATTTTTCTTCAAATTAAACTCTTTTAGGTTATAAAGAAGATGATTTTTATTTATTTTTTAAACTAGATTCTGCTGTAAATTCTATATTATTTTTATTAGGTAATTGTCTATTAATTACTTAAGTATTAAAATTATCTCTTTCTATAAATCCAAATCTCGGTTATTCATATTAAACAGGTTATGGCACAGGTTATTTTTCAATAGCTTAAGAGAAACGAGTAAAACTACTATAAATAGTAGATTATTATTATGATTTTTCTATAAATTTAGTTTCTTATTTTGGTTAAGGTGATGTAGTCTTTACTCTAATTTTTCGATTATATAATTTAGCATATTTAACTGATTCTGCTTTGACTTGTTCTTCTAATCTCTATAATTCTTCTAAATACCAATCAATTCCAAGAAAATATTCATAATTAACCTAAAATAGTTTATTAATTACTTTATCCTCTTTTTCATCTCTAAAATAGATAACAAGCCTTTCAACTTCTTAAACTGACATACCTAATTCTTAATGCATAAGATATTTAAATTTAACTATAGATAACCAACCTCTATTGTCTGGATCATATTTTTTGAAAATAGCTTATAAGTCTAATTATTTTAAATATCTTCTAGCTTTTAAATCTATAATAGAAAACCCTAAGTATATTAATATTCATCTACATAAAGATCTAAAAACTTTGAAATAAACTTCTTTTGCAGCTCTTCGTTATTCCTAATAATCACCAAAATTAGCGTATTTATCCTTTCTCAAAATTAAATATTCATCTTTTGGATAGCCAAAGAAATGTTAACAAGTTCCAAAGACTTTCATTTTAGGTAATTCGTTTGTGAATCCAATAACTTAAATTTGAATATGTTTTATATATACAATCTAATTAAATTTCTTCATAGGGTTTAATGTTAAGTGCACATTATTCATTTACTACATCAATAAAACATCCACAAAATGTACATATCATACATAAACTATCTAAAGTATTTACAACCTTTTTAAGTAATCTTACCCAATCATAGATTTCATCCTCAATTTTAATAAAGAATTCTTCTTTAATTTTTTATAATGATGATATCTTTTCTTGACGACATTTACAAATAACTTGTTTTTTAAATTCAATTTATTATTATAGTATTTCAGAGTTTTTAATTTTGGTTCTAAGATTAAACAATTCTCTAGAGAGATCACTAGGATGTGAAGTTATTTCAGCTATCAAAATTATATTATTAATAATACTTTTAATAATGATACTGAGTAACTTCATAGTTTATTAACTTAAGGTTTTAGACATAAATAATAATGGTAACACATTCTAATCTAAAGCTAAATATTCAAATGTATGTATAAAATCATCAATTGAATTTAAGTGTTTTTATAACCATGTAATATCTTTCTATAATACAGCTGTCAATGTTCCAGATTAATCATTTAATCTCTTTAAAATACCTCCCTCAAATTCCATATGTACATCCTTTACAATAGTAGCCTTTACTTCTGTTATATACTTCATTCTAGTTTCAATCTTATCTAATTAATCTAATAATATCTCCTTTTTATTTTTCATAGCACTTTCAATTCTATCTTTGATGTATGTTTATCTTATTGTGTATGCATCTTTAAAACTAATTATTTTATGATTCTTTGTTTAATGTGGTCCATAACTAACGCAATCATTACAAACAAGATCTTTACAAGTTTCACAAAATAATTCTGTAACCTTTTTATGATGTTAACATTCTCTATTTTAATTCATTTTTTTTAATTATTATTTTTTAAATGAACGATTCTATTGATTCTGGATATTCATTTACACCTAAATAATAAAAAAAATAGAGCTCCATTCCATTTTTAGTTAGTGAAGAAGTCAAAAAGATCATTTCTTTTAATATGACACCTTTTAAAGATAATAATCATTATGAACAAATCAGAACTCCAATTACAGAAGGTTATGATAGAAAATTACAAGATGCTATTAAATAATTAGAAATAGAAGAATTAATCACTGATCCAATCGATTTCTTATGTAGAAATACTACAAATAATATTATTTGTTCTCTAAATTTAAATACAATTTAACGATCAATTTTATTTTAATTACTTTCTATTTTAGTTGATGGATTAGTTGTTATTATCTCTTATAATTATGTACTACTTAAAGAAAAATTAAGAAGAATTCAAGATATTGTTTCATGGGCAGCCATCAATCCAGAAGTTCCTGATCATTAAATTGAATTCATTGTTAAAAATATCTCAAGCAGAAATATCAAATTATTAATTATACATCCAGAATAAGCACATCTAATAGATTTATCAAATCTAGATATAAAACTACTTTTGTTAGATTAATCTAATTATTATTTATCATTTTTAGAAATTGGCAAAGTTCAATCAGATCTAACTAAATATATTTCTAAAGCTAACACAGAATTTATCCATATTCTTTTGCCTATTACTTAAAGTGTCTTTATTCAAGATCTTCGATTATTTCAACCTTTTAATAGAACCTATCAAACTTATAGAGAGTAATAACTTTGTTCTATAATATCTTTAGATCATTCACTCCCAAAACTTAAATCACATGCTCAAAGGATGAAAGTCCTATTAAATCATTGATCTCATTGCTTAGAAGCTAAAGACTATACAGAAAAACTGGCATTGCTGTCTATTGTCATAATATAAGTGCAGTTGAATCTGTTTAATTTACTTTGTAATAAAATGGATTTAAGAGTAATTCTATTCATTAAAAAAAACCTGAAAATTAAAGATAAGCCAGTTATTATGATTTTGCTTCTTAAAATATTGATATTGTTGTATTACCTAGCGGATTTCAATTGCCAGAAGGATTGAAAAATTTTATTTTTCTTTCTGTACATTTATATTTGCCATTAAATATTGAAACATTCATTCTAGATATATCTGAATTAAATAAAGAAGCAAATTCACATATATTTTTATGTGATGATTATTATTTCACTTAAAGGGCTGAGATCTGTTCTAATTTTATTTAAATTGAAAATTTAGCTGTCTTTATGTAAGAATGTGTTTATACAAATGATTTAATATCAAAAGATGAAAATGATATAACTTATTGGTTAACTAAAAAATGGTTACATTTATAAAATTAAGAATAATTTGAAATAAAAATAAAAAAGATTTAGTTAAATGAGTCTTCATTAAATTTTGATTTTAGTAAAAAACAAATCTAATTCTTTCTCTAAGAATTAGAAAAAGAAAAATGGTTAGAAATTTAAGTAACCATTCCTGTAGAATTAATTATATCATAATTACCAGAAGATGAGTAGATTTCTTAAAATATATAAATTTATGGTAAGAAATCTGGAAGCCTCAATGGATATAAATGTTTAGTTGATGATTTACTTAAAGGATCTGTAATGACACCAATTTAATTAATAAATAAACTAAAATTATTAAAAGTTAAATTTGAAATTTCAGAAGAAGCTTAAATAATAAAATTAACACACTTTCCATCTCAATCTGAATTGTAAGCAAAAGTTTTAGATATTTATTCTGGTATTAAACGACAAAACATTATTCGAATTAATAATTTAGATTAAATGTACACAATGGCAAAGACAGGATCCTTTAGATCTTTGGAATATATGTGGAAACAAATTTAACTATAGAAAAATTCTACATAATTAACTGATTTTATTTAATAATATTTAGACTAGACTATCTATTCTGATTTAACTGGAAATAATAATTTACCTTTTATTAAGCTTGAAACTTAAAGAGAAAAGTCAACTCTTTTGTAAGATGTCAAGGTATTAAGTATTGATAATACTTTTAGTGTATAATAAACTTTTATAATATAATTGATTATGGATTGTCCTGGATTTAAAAAGAAAATTGTGCAACCAAAATATTAGTTATATTGCAAGGTCTTAAAACTAATAAAAAAGAGTTAAAATCTTTACATTAATGGAATAAATACAGATCATATAATTATTTGAAAATCCATGAAATGATTCATGAATAATTAGAATAGTTAGAAACCAAGTTATTGTGTTAAAGTAAAAAAAAAATTAAAATCTGATATATTATATATATATATTTGTTTTCATTTTACATACACAGGAAAAAATTCTAATATATGTTAATTAAGCTGATTGTTTCTGTATCCGAAAATGCTGGTACACTGAAAATCCTGACTTTCTCAGAAACAATTTTTTTCAAAGTTTTCGTGTTTCCAGCAGAGTAAATGTTAAGTAAATCTCCTAAAATGATGGATCCTAATTTTATTAAGGATATGAATTAAAAAAACTAATCAGATTATTAACATTTAAGTATCTTAAACAATTGAGACTATATTCTCATAAAATAATGTCACTTCCAATAAATCTTCATCAAAATAATCCTTAACCAAAGAACGATATTATCTTGTACTTTTTGATACATTAACATTGAAATTAAATAGAGATCTGAAGTCCAATTTTACGGCTTCAAAATAATTGTTCAAGAAAGCTTAGGTAGATACAATTAATGAATAAAAATTAATTTTTTTCTTTTAAAACAACTTTGATTTATAGAATTAATTAAAAGCTTTCAATTTATAATTCAAATAAAATCATAAAAATTTAAAAGGAAAGGTGCATAATCTTTCATCTTTTACAATATTATTAGTACCTATTTACCCATTAACCATCAAAATAATTCCTGTTACCAAATCTGAAACATTAATTATTTTAATTTGATTATTTGGAAGACAGGATTAAGAATAATTGATAGTTTTACTCTTCCTCATTTATATTTAATCTAAGAATTTGTTCATACTTTTGTAAATTTTTATTTACATTTTAAGAAAAAAAAAAGGTTTTATTTTCAACTCTTTGAAGATGGTTTTAATTGCCTCATTTGTAACTTATTAATTTAAAATTTTTTCGATCAATTCTATGAATTAACAATCTTTATTATCTGTTTAAAATCATTTTACTAAACTTAAATAAAGAATATAATAGATGTGGCAATATTGAGATCTAAGACATTTATTTTTAGGTTGTAAGTGAAAATGAGTTATTTATTAAATTTCTAATACATTTCTCTCATGTTTGAATTTCTTTTCACAAAATATTTACAATTTTTAAAGAATAAAGAAAACATCTATATTTCTTTTTACTTTCATATTTAAGCGGGAAATAATTATTATTATTAAAAAATTACTCAGTGATTTTCAATAGCATTATGTTCTATACTCATTTCTGATTTAAATTAGATTATATATTTAATTATTAAAGTGACTATGAAACTTTTAAATAATTAAAAAATTTCCATTTATTTCTTAATACTCTTATTAATATGTTAATTATGTCAAAATTTAGCATAAAAATAATATTTTTTATTAAGATATTTTAGAAAATTAATAAATTGGTGAGACTCAAATATAGAAATAGATTAATATTCTAAAAATGAATTTAATATAACTTTCCTTCTAATGGTTTTCAAAAATTTGATCTTAAATTCTTATATATGGGTGCTCAATTATAACATTCTATTTATTATTGATGCCAATATGTTAGTAGAGTATATAATACAATTTGAATAATTTTATATTAATTTTATTACATAATAATGCAGCCTCGAGAAACCTTACCATAACAAAGAGCTTCGGCAAAATAATAGGATTTTAAAAAATATAAAAGCTATAGATTCACAATCTCGAATCAAATGATGAAGCGTAACCCGACGAAATTTTTATAAGAGATGAAGAGTCTCAAACAAAATATTTAATAAAGTACTTTGAGAAGTTTAAAAAATTTTCAACCTTACGAAAATAAAGAAGATAATTCATCAGATTCTAGTGATTATAATAATGTTGATGAGAAGCCTGATCCTTTAGAAGGCAAAATAGGAGTACCTAATTTGAGTTTTAAAGAAGGCTTTTTGATTACACTTGAATAATAAGAACAATAAACACATAATTCTTCTGATAAAAATAGCTCCAAGGGTGGATAAAAGTATATGTTAAAGAATATAAAAAAATTATATGGTGATTAAAGTTCAATGAGTGATGTTAATTCTTAAGAACAATTACTGGATAGAAGACATGATAATTTCCCTCTTAATGATTAAATCGAAGAATTAGAAGTCTAACATGTTGAACCAGTGGATTAATTTTGTGAAGATCTTACTCCAAGAATATTGAAGAAGTATTAAAAGTATAAAGAACGAAATCCATTTGAAGATCCTTATTATGTAGTTTTGACTCCTCTTCATGGATTAGAAAGGTTAAAGCATGAATTAAAAGTAATTAAATTGGTTTAGTTTAGAATTACAATGATCATCTCAATTTCCTGAAACTTAGAAAATTCATTGTTTATTTATGTTTGTGTATACCAATGTATTTCTAGAAAATAGTAGATAGCTACTTTTTTAAAATTATAAATGGTATTTGGATTATTTGTAATCTAACTCTATTCACTTTAAGTAATTCCAATCCTCCAATCACAAAGGAATAGTACAAATAATTTATTTTTTATTGTTTTACTATTGAAATATTTATAAGGATCTTAGCTGCTGGAGGTATTTATCCAACTATTCATTTTTTGTACAATAAAGAAGACATTTTTAATCTATCTTGTACACTAATTAGTTTTCTTCATTACTTTTATCCAACTTTTATTCCTTTCGATCCTACACCACTAAGAATAATTACAATCTTATTATATTTAGGAGATGGCTTATTAAGATTAAAATATATGTTGATAGCTTTAAAAAAATCATTAGTATTTTTAGCTGAAGCACTCTTTATTCTTTTGATTTCTGCTTTATTCTTTTCTATTATTGGAGTATCTTTATTCTAAGGATTATTTAATTATAGATGTTAACCAATAAATGGAGATCCAATAGAGGATTGGATTCAGTGTTATTAAAATAGTTGTCCTGAAGGAATGTAATGTATACTTTCAGAAGAAACTCCTAAGTTGCCAACTTCATTTAATAATATATTTTTTTCACTTGGATAAATTTTAAGAACAATAACAATGGATGATTGGAGTTGGGTTATGTTTTTTACTATGAGAATATTTCATCCTTGGATTTGGATCTATTATTTATTAATTATATTTGTTTGTGGATTTTTTTCAATCAATTTGATGATTGCTGTTCTAAAAATTCATTATTCAGAAGCAACTATAGAATGTGAAGAATTTGAAAAGTTAGCTTAGCAAAAAAATGATCATAGTTTATAAAGATAAGAGATGTTCTTAAGTAAGGATGTTATTTCTTATTTTGATTTATCATTTTTGCGTTATATAGGTTTTTATACTGTGTTAAAATAACATAGGCACTTGATAAGTACAAAAAAACCTTTAAATGAATTAATTGAAGACGATTTTAAACCAGAAAAAACTAATCAATAATTAAGAATGCTATCCTCTAAATAAAAGAAGATTTTAGATGAAGCAAAAACAGTATTTTCAATTTTATATTTATTATAGAAACTTAATTAAAATTCTATTTGGAATAAGTTTAAGAATTTTTCACTTAAAAATCAACTATTGCCTAAGTTTAAGGAACTTAAAAAAGAATAAAGTCTAGTAAATATTAAATTATATTCTGATGATCCTATTGAGATTTCCATTTTATTGAAAATAATAGAATATAATTTTACTTAATTAAACAATTCTGTAAATTATCATGTGGATTAGAAATATAACAGTTTAAAGGATGTCTTTGTATAGAAGAAAAGGTATTTATGAGCTAATTTGCTAGAATTGGACATAAAGAAAAAATTAAAATGTATTATCAACATTTTTTATCAGCAAAGAATTTAAAATCAACTATGAGGCAATAATCTGATTTTTCAATTAATAGATACCCAATCCATAAGAGTACAAGAAGAATAACTATTTTAAGAACTTTAAGTAAAAAAGATGATAGTCTAGATGTTGCCTCTCCTTAAATTAGGAGAAAAAATAATGAGATATAATCAATAATCAATGTGAAAGCAAAAACTTAAAGATCTAATCCCTTTGAAATAATAAATAAAGGCCGAAAATTTATTTTAATTTAAGGATATTATGTTGATTATGATTTGGTAAAGGATAAAATTAATATGAAAATACCAAAATTAAAACAAGAGTTGGAATCTAATGAAGAGGTTTATTAATAAATATTTGAGAAAGAGAGAGAATAAAAAATTATAAAAACTAAAAATTGGTCAGGTAATAATGTATTACTAATGAATCCTAATCGCTTTTAGATGTTTGATGAAATATTCAATAGTTTAAATAATTTTAATAAATTGATATGGATGCCAACAATAGGAGGGAAACTATTAATATTAAGAAGATATACTCTTATACTAATAGATAATTAAGTCAATTAATTATTTTTTGATTTGATTATATTGATAAATTTTATTTTCCTATCTTTATATGGAATTGCTGATCCAATTATTATATCAAAATGTGAAGATACCTCAACTCTTTTTTTGTTGGTTGAAATAAGTTTACAAATGTTTACATATCCATTGCAAAGGTTTTTCTCAAGCAAGGAAAATATATTATAAGCAATAATAATGATAGCAAGTTTTATAGAGTTTAGTTTTAGTGATTATTTAAATTTAACAGAATAAGATTTGAGATTGATAAGAGGTACAAAATGCATTCTCTTTTATAGATGTTTAAAATACAATTAGATGGCAGTATTGATAGGTAAGATTGCATCAATAACATTTAAGTAATATATTTACTTAACAATTTTCATGTTTATAATTATTACTATATACGCCATGATTGGAATGGATTTATATGCAGGTAATTTAGATTAAAATGATTCTTTGGGTTAATTGCATTCATTTGATAATTTATTGAAAGCAATGATGACGATTTTTAATATAATGACAAATGATGATTGGTATGGAGTATATGTCATTGGTTCAGAAATTAATACTGTTGCTGCTACTATATACTCATTTTCTATGGTGATAATATTAAATTATTTGACATATGGATTAGTTTTAGCGATATTGCTTGATGGATTTGGGAGATATTTGGATGAAAAAGATGAAGCTGATTAGAGTGATAAATAAATTTTAGAACATTAAATGACATGCTCAGAAGATGCAGATTTATTTAATGCAGAAATTGATTCTAGTAGATAATTTAAAGTTAAGTCACAATTTTTATCATAAGCTCAAATTTGTGAATTAGAAGAAAAAGAATAACCAAAAATAAAAGCTGATTTAATGGAAAGTCTTTTGATATCTTTAAGTATTATTATATTAGTATATTAGAGTAATTAAATAAGTAAGTAATGAAATAAAATCCAAAATTATTTTAAGATATTTAATGTGAAACATCTCTCTATTTGTTTGAAAAAACAAGTAAAATAAGAATAATATGTTGTAATTTGTGTACATCTTTAGCATTTTATTGGTTTACAAATTTAGTTTTAATTTGTTCAATATTTGTAATGATAATTGGCACTTATCATGATTATGAATTAGAGAGGAGTTAATATCCATATATATTATTGATGATTTTGAATTTTTTTATGTTATTAGAAGATGTTATTTGTATAATTGCAAAGGGTTTATGTTTAGATAAAGGATCACATATAAACTATTCGTGGTAATTGATTGATTTAATTTATCTACTTGGCTTTTTTATTAATAGTGATTAGTAAAATCCAATAATAAAAATATGTTTATTTCTTGGTCATTTTAGACCAATGAAATTGATGTATAGAATTAAATGGTTAGATAAGATAAGAGCAGCATTGGCATAATCACTTTTTGATATGTTAAAGATATTATTAACTTTAGTATCAGTATGGATTATGTTTGGAGTATTTGGAATCATTTTATATGAAAGCTAATTTGGATTTTGCAATGATAAAATGTCATTTGATATTAATAAAAATGAATGTATAGAATCTAATGGAAATTGGATTAATTACAAACACAATTTTGATAATATTACAATTGCATTACCAACCTTATTTGTAGTATCAACTTTTGATGGTTGGGGTGAAATAATGTAAGTAGCAGAAAACAGTAGACAAAGTAGATTTGGACCATATCCATTTGCTACTTATATTTCTACTTATGCTTATTTCATATCTTTTTGTTTTGTAGGATCTATGTTCTTTTTAAGTTTTTTTACTGGAACTCTCTTTTCTAAATTAAGAATCAATTAATAGAAGATAGAAATGTAGGATATTACTAAATTTCAGAGAGAATTTACAGAAATTGCTCCAATTATTCTCAAAGATATTCCAGTTTTTTCAACTCCTCCAACTAATGTATTGAGAAGATTAGCCTCTTTTATTGTTAGTAACACTCTATTTTAGAAATTTATGTTTCTAATGTTATTAATAGATTTGATTTGTCAATTGTAATATTAATATGATATGGATGTTGAATACATCACAAATATTAATATAATTTAAAGGTTTATCATATTCTTTTATGCATTATGGATTGGTCTTCTGTTTATGTCATTAGGTATTAATAGATATTTTGACAATAATTGGAGAAGATATTATACAGTTCTTATTGTTATATCTCTTTGTGATTTAATTGCAGATTTACAAAATGGTTGGGTAATTGAATATTTTTAATCAAATGTATTTACTCCAAATTATCAATTATTGAGAGTAGCGTTTATGACTAGACAATTACGTCTTTTAGTAATATTTCAAGGATTAACAAACTTATCAAGATTGATAAGAGTGATGGGTTTTGCTATTCCTTTTTTAGCTAAAATAATATCAATTCTTATAATCACTATGATTATTTATGCATTAATTGGATGTTAATTATTTGGTAAAATAATCGATGGTGCAGTGATTGATGATTACATTAATTTTACTAATTTTGAATATGCTTTATTAGCATTGTATAAATGTGCTTCAGGAGATGATTTTAGAACTATAATGACAGATACAATGCATCATAATCCATCTTGTCCAGAGAATCCTGATTGTTGTGGTTCAGATTTCAGTTAAATCTATTTTATAACATTTATGCTATTTTCAAATTATGTTCTTTTGAATTTGTTTATTTTAGGTTTAATTGAATAATTTGAGGAATTCTTCTAAGTTCAAAATTCGATGATTTAAACTTATGTTGAAGAAATAGATAAGATTAAAACTGCTTGGTGTAAATACTCAGCTGAAACTAATGGTTAAAGTATGCATTATAAATTTCTTTGTCGATTCTTACTTGATATTGGTTAACCATTAGGAGGAGGAAAAGATGATAATTTATGGGATGCAGCTAAAATAGCATCCAAATTTAATTTAAGATGGTATTATTTTATAATTAAATAGTGATGCTTGTGGGTATATTCAATATAATCAATTATTATATTAACTATTTAGAAGATGTTATCATGAAGAAGTATTCAAAGATGGATCATAAGAATCTATACAGAATATGAAATAATTCAATAAAGAAATGCAAATACGTTTAATTTACTATAGAAGAAGTAAGAATTAACCTAGAACTAATATAAGTAAATAAACTTTATAATTTAAATCTAATTTCAACATTCTCCATGATTATTTGAATGTTTTAATTTTATTTAAAACTTGGTAATCATACTCTTAATTGTTGATTGAAAAAATAATTAGTAGAGAAGTCGATTATACAGAAAGTGATGAAATTACATTAGATGGCAATATCTAAAATAATCCTTAATAGTATTTTTTTTTTCTTCTATTTTATTTTAGTTGGTAATAAGTTCAAAATGATTTCATAAATGATGGCTTCAGTTCTAGAAGAAGAACAACAGATATTAAATTATGTGAAGAGGAATTTACTGGTCATCATGTAACACCATAAAGTCAAGGATCTTTAAGAGAACCTTAATTACCTATATATTAGACTACTCTTTAATAAGAAACTGATAGAATATTTGGAGGCTTTGATGAAAATGTTATTTTAGATTGCAAAGAATTAAAATTAAAAAATTGATGTTTATATATATATATTTTATCATACTTTATTGTCTTCCATTTAAATTTAAGACTATTATAATTATCTACTTTTACTAAAGAAGTGTCTTCGGGTACCTAAAAATTATTCAGAAGGAATCTATTCACAGTCGAATTATATTTCTGATCATTAATCAAAATATTACTTGCATCTTCTTGATTTGAATTACAATCAGAATTTATTAATTGATAATCAAAATTGATTCCACAAAAAGTGCACTATAATTTATATCTATTTAATTCTTATTAATATTAATCTACAATGTTGTACCATTCTTGAAATTCTTGATTAGCTTATCTTTCTAATTCATCTCTAATTTTTTGACTTTCTATTTGGGAATCACTAAAGAGTTTCCAAATTACCTCATTTTTGAAATCCATCAATTTCTAGAGCATCTAATTTTGCTATTACAATTATCTAAATTATATAAGATCTTAAGGCAAATCATCTGGATAAATATCAATTTATTTTTTTATTCTCTTTCTACTCAATCTTTCTATATTTTCATATAAATCCAAATTTTTTTAAGAATTGAAATCTTACAATTAAGAGATCCTTTATTGTAAACCATCAATTTAATCAATATCTCTAAAATAATAAAAAATAGAGCTATTACCTAAGTAATTCATTTTTATCATGATTTAAAATTTAAAGCTTTTGATTTTCTACATTTTTTAATTTATCTATAATTATTTCACATTCCTCTCTGGTTATGTTCTCAATTTTTTAGGATTAATATTTGATTTCATCAATTCTATTATCTATCTAATTTATCATTAATAGCAATAACCTTTTAGACTTATTCAAAAATTTCCTATCTTTTAGGCAACAAATTCTGAGTAACTTAATCTTTGATTCTCTCATATCTATAATCAAATCCAGCCTATTGAGTGAATTATTGAGATGGATAAAAAGGTTAGGAATAACTGGATGAAAAATATTGATCTTGATAAGAAGGATTTTTTTAGTAGTATTAATCTTAATATTATTATTAATGAGTTGTTTGATCATTCATAAATTTATTAGTTCTGAATTGATTATTATTATTCTAATTAACAGTATGATAAGTTTCATATTAATTATGTTGCATAGAATAATCTGTTGCTTAATAATTACCATTATTATTATTATAGAATGTTTACATTTAAACATCATCATCACAATTAGCTAAGCTAATAATTTATAATACCTAAACTCTTGCTTTCCTTATCTCCACTTCTACTAATTACTCTAGCAATTAGTTATTATTATTGGTCATTTTCAAGAGAAGGTAGAATTTTTGAATCCTTTTTCTCAACCTTAGTCGTTTTCTTTTTTTTATCTAATGATTTATCACTTTTAACACTTTTCTTATCTTTTGAAGACATTCTGTTAAAATAATAATAATAATAATAATATTATAAATATATAAACATTCTCAATGTTAATGATGTAAAAAGGAGTGATCAATACGGTCCTAAATTAACTTAAATAAATTATACAATCTTTGTAAGTTGATCAAATCTGGATCCAGTATATGGATTAGTGTAAACATATAAAAAGAAATACATTTTGAATAATAACAACAAAACAACTTAACATCCAGCAATTAACCAGATTACTATATGTTTTTTAGCTTGTATATTTTTTTCTAGTTCTCTAAATTTTATTGTATTTATAATATACCCCCAATAATTAACAATCAAAAATAAAGAGGAATTAATCATTGCATAAATTAATGCTCCCCATTATAATTATGGATTTGGTATTGAGCAAACTATACATACAGGTATTATACAAGTTTAAGCATAAGCATAAATACATATGACAGATGATAAATGGAGATGTCTACCTCCTAACATTTTCATCACCATATAAATTGCAAATGGTACTAGTAAAGCTATTCCAAATAATAGAGATGATGCTGTTGGTATAAAATCAAAATTATAATGAAATGCTATATTGCTTGGAGTTGCCAAATAACCTGAAATATTTCCTGCTGCTGCTACCGAAAATACTAAAGTTGCATATATCCATACTGGCCCATATAAATCTGCTTTCCCATCTTAAATCTCAAAAAAAGTTGCCTTAAATGGAAAAAATGATGCCCATAACTTTTATGCTATTACTTTTGTTGTCAAATCATTAAAAAATGGTTAATAATATTTTAATGTAAATGGAGCACAAAACATTTAACAACAAGTTGGCTCTTTGTTTTAATTCTCTTCCTCTTCTATTTTATCATCAATAACATCATCAGACACTATCTAATTTACTATTTATTAGGCTAATTTCTATGCCAATACTTATTTAGCCAAATCCGGAGGAGGTGCTTCTTTCATTATACTCTTATACCTGATCCCTTCAATGCACTGCCATTAGAACTCATTGAAAAAAATATTATTAAAATATATAATAATTTCAGGTTAAGGAAGGCATGTTGATTTCATGATAAATCAATTCTGGTGCTATTATCATCATTATTTTAGTTGTAAAATTTTATTATATTAAAGTAAAACTAATCTATCTTTAAATTTATGGTTTTTAGAATTATTCAATAAAAATATTCAATATTCATCATCATACAATAATAGTAATACGGAATTCATTATTATTATTGAAATCAATAACAATGTGATCACCAAACAAAAAGCTTTGTGTTTTAGATAATTTTGCTGACTTTTTATCACCTTATATAAAGTCTTTTATTTGAGTCTTTAATTTTATGCTAATTATTCTTCTTCTTGACTATCCCTTTATTAACTATTTCCCATTTTTATTTTATTTATCAATTTCATTTTATAATACTTTTAATATTTTCAATGCTTATGACGCATTATGAAATACAATTCTCTAAAACTGAATGAAATAAGTTTATTTGTTTGATTGAAATATGTTTGCCTCAGTTAAATTAAATTAATTAAATAACTTTATGGAAAATAAAATAAACCTTAAATCAACTGATATTACATTGTGGAATCAAAAGACCACGACTGAGTTAGATGATAGCTGTTGTTCGAATAATGATAGTGATTAAAGTAGTTAAATAATTGCAAATTTTGTAATTGGAATTTTAAAACCTGGATAAAAAAGAATTGGTCTAGTTGCAGCTAATAAAAACAAAATAACCATTAGTGGTGTTTTAGGTATAGATAAACTCAGAAAGTGAAAACTTTTCATTGAACAGAATATAACCTTTATATGTTTATGTTTAAATATTATGTAAAACTTTATAATTTTCAGTTTTAATAAATTTTTATCGTTGTTAACGTGCTATTTTACTTATTAAACACTTTTTCATATTTTCTATTTTAACAACTTTTTCTACTTATTTGTTGAAGTATCAAAAATTTATGAGCGAGATGTAAACAATTAAAGATGTCAAATAAACATTTTATAAAATGATAAAAATTTTATTTCAGGAGTTATTTTACAACAAATAGGTTTAAATGGAACCATTATTGTTTTAAATAATTTAATTATATTCATATATAAAAAATATTATATAGATCAAATTTTCAATATTGATTTAATTAGTGAAAGTATGATTTTATCTTAGTACTTGAATGTTGGCAAATATGTTAAAGATAGCATAACTCTTCTAACTTTGTTTCTCAGCATATACATTTCTAAAGCAGCTAAAAAGATGGTCATAATCATTATTGGAATACCTATTCCAATAAATAAATTTTATATCATTTTTTATTTAGAATATTTTTCATTATTTAAAAATGTTTCTAGAAGGTAAACTAATCTATCAAAAGTTTTAAATAATAATTCTTAGCCATACATCACTAATAATTGATAATATTGTGAATTGTAATACGAATAGACTTATTAGCTATTGTCAGTAGAAGTTTCTGAATAGGTAATTGGATGATATTCAAGTAAAAATTAATCATAATTAAATTACATCTTCTAAAGTAAATCCAAAGCACCAATTAATCCTGTATTAAAATAATCGAATTAGATATCAAATTGACATAAATTTTATTAAGAATAGTAGCAGATATTATCTTTAAGTAAATGATTGATTTCACTCAAAATACTTAATTGCTCTAAATATGAAATTCTATCTAAATATTAATCACTTTATATTGAAACATTTTTAAAGCTTGAATTATAATCATAATTTAGATTTAATTATTCTAAAAAATTGGACATTTCAGATACATAATTTTTGATTTTACTAATATCAGATGTAATAGTCTATAAGAAATATGAAATTTATTAATTTTATTAATAATTATATAATGTATACTGAGTAGATATACTAGAGTGATTAAGATTCAAATATCTTTAAGGTGTGATTGATAGTTTAGAAATTAAAGCTGAAGTGTAAACACTAGTACTTACAGTTTAATCAAAATTATGAATAAATGGAGTAAAAGTATCTATTTAAGTTTAAATAATGATAATAGAAAATATTAGATATCCAATAGAGATAGATGAAATCATTATATATAATCCCATATCTTTCCAAATACTTAATGAAGTATCACTTAATTTTGATTGGAAATAAGAGCTTTCTTTACCTTTGGCAATTTTAGAATATTTTTAATTTAAGTCAATATCTTAACTTTTATTGTAAAACACTAATTTGACTTGATTTTAAGTGACCCATGAATCATCTTAGGCTTCAAGTAAATGTTAAGAGAGAGTAAGTTTTTTAATTTCATCTTCTGCTTCTTCTAAAGTAACTCTACTTAGAATGCAAAGAACACGAAAATAAATATTATTAATTTATCTAATAAAAGGTACAATTAAGAAAATAATAATTAAATGTAATCCACCAAAACTTGTCATTAAATAGGTTACAAGTAATGCTTAATTAAAAATAATGGAGTTCTTATAATCTCTTAATTATTAACTCATATTATTTATTTAGGATTGTGTAAAAATAAGACGACTTAATAAATAATCCATTGAATTATTGTAAAGTTAATGAAAAGTGATATCACTTCTATTATAATTAAGTATGAATTAAATGGAATCTATTTCAATTTTTTATTATGTAAGAAATTATGATAGAGAAACAATTAAAAAATCATCAGGAATACTTAAAACATCAGGTTTAGGTAATGGAAATGAAACAGCTTTTAAAATTTAATCTACAACACTAAAATATGATTAACTAATTTCTAGACTTAAGTTAGAGCAATAAATAATAAGATTAGTCATTAAAGTAGTATTAATTGGTTATTAAAATGTTATAATTTATTATTAATCGATAGAATTAGTAGATTATAATACGATTGTGGAATATCGATATTAATTATTAATTTTTAAACTTAATTGATCTACACTTAACATATTAAAATAATCTTAGGTTGTCATAACAAGACTAATAATACTGGATATATTTAACATGATTAAAACAATTTTAAAAATTTATAATGATTTAGCTTGTCTAGGTAAATATTTCAAACATCTTAAAGATATATGAGTGGCCATTGAGATGGCTGAAATAGATTTAATAGATTGATGATTAGAAGCTTAACTCATAACTTCAAAAATATTAACTAATTCATCTTCATTTTTTTAATCATCTTCTTCAACATTAATTTCTGCTTGGCTTGTAATATTATTACTAGACATAGAATTAGTACCAGAAGGAGTACTTTATCCATTTTTCTTTAATTCTTCTTTATCTGAATTTTCAGATTATTCTTTAAAACCTTAATCTTGTGCTTCAAATTAATCATTTTTAATTTCAATATTAGAAACCCTTCTTAAATTTAAACGAGTAAATAATTTAGTAAATAAGCCAGTAGGACTTAATAAAGAACTTCTTTTTTCTTCTGGTATACTTAAATTAGAATGTGTTTTTTCAGGTTATTATTAATTTTATAAAATAATTGGATTTGGAGACGATATAGGAGTAGTAGGACTTCCTGTTGGGGGATCTTTGGGAACAAGAGCTTTTTCCATTTTTTTTAAAAAAGACAATTTTAATTTTTTTTTAGGTGGTTCTACTTTTTTATCAGATAAACTACTAGATTATTCTTTATTAAATTCTTTAGATTAAATTAACTCTTTTTATTATTGTTATTTCATTTTTTCAAGAGAATTTTATCTTGATAATGATGGAACATTTAAATTCAATGATTATTTCATAGAATGATTACCACTTTATATCAGACTTTCTCTCATAGATCCTTCTAAATCAAAGGAAGATTCATTTAATTTTTAATTTTAGGCTTCAAAGTTAACTTTCATATTAGGTCCTTCTTCTCTATCTAAAGAAGACATATATGTTCTACTATCAGGAATTGCTAGAGTTACAATTATTGGTTAATCTATTTCTCCTTTAAATTTTATTTATTATTATGGACCAAAACTATCTTATTATTATATAGAAAGAGATTATCCCCAAGCAGGTTTCTATTTATCAACTGATTCCATTGATGAAAATTATTATATTAAACTTTTTCTTAATTCTTCACCTCCATCAAATTATTAATTTTTCTCCTTTTTCATATGTATCTTCAAAACATCTTTTCTTTTAGCAGTTTATAAATTTAATGATGATAATCTACAAACAAAATATAAAAATTAATCTTTATCATTTATTCCTCCTAAACCTACATCAATAGATGAAACACATTTATATCTTACTTGCTATAGTAATTTAGCATCTTAAGATTCTAATGCTTCTTTAAGTAAAGCTTTTGAATAGTATTTTCTTATTTTGTTATCAATAAAATCTTAAAATTCAGCATCAAAAAGATGATAGCAATTTTGTTATTATTTGATGTATGAATACTTATTTTATAATTATTATCTTCTAATAGATTTGGTTTCAAAATCATTCTTACTTTCTATAAATCGCTCTCCTGCATCATTAAAATATTCAATTAATTCATTATAATTTCTTGGAATATAAAGTACTAATTTCTCATCCTACAAAACAGAAATATTTTTCTTCATAAGTCCTTTATCATCTACAAATGTATTGAGTATAAAATTTCTATATTAATCTTTATCTAACATAGCACTACTTAATCCTTAATTATTGATACTTTATTATCTATCCATAAATTAACTAAGTTATCTTTAAAATAAATTGCTAGCTTATTTTTCTAAAATATTTTATTAATTATTTTGATTATCTACTAATTTATTAAATTATTCTTAAGATTCTCTTTATAATTTTTTAAAAATATCTTTTGATAATATATCTGTAATAGATTTTCCAATTTATGGTAAGAAATGTTAAATACTCCCAAATTACAAAAGAATATCAGATGGTTTTTAATATGTTCTTCTAACTTAGCTTCTAGAAGTACTTTATTTCTAATTGACAGTTAGAGTCTTTTTAAATAATTTAGCATGATTATCTTTTGCTATTTTATTAATTAAATTATTTTTAAGATTTCCAATTTTATCAAATTTTTAATGTATAGATTTGTATTAAACCATACCAAATTCATCAAGAGCTCCTTTTAATATTAATTTATCAAAAGTTCTCATTGAAACTCCTAATATTCGTCCCCATTCATCAAATATTAAATATTCGTCTTCATCTTTAATTTTTAAGATAGATCCAAGGAGTGTAAAATCATTCATATTTTAAAAATTAAATGACAAATTAACATTAATAGGAAATACAAATCCTAAAGAATCACAAGCAAAAGAACTAATAGGTTTATCATAATATTAAGTATAACCTCTTTGAATAAATCTTTAAATAAAATAATTATGAGAAGCTGTTAAATAAGGTGGCATAATACTAGATATTCCAATTTTATCAGAATTAGAAGTAGAACTACTAGATTATAATCCTCTTATACGTAAATTTTGTATCATATCATCATAATTTGAATAACCTAATAAATCAACTAATCGATTAGAAAATCCTTTTATGATTTATCCACTCAAAACTCCTACACTAACTTCTAATGTAACTAAATCTCCAGATAACCATTAGAAATTTCCAATCTATCCTTATTTATGTGCTACTCTACTTAATTACCAACAATCTTCTACTTTCCTTTAATACAATACTGCTTTTTTATAATCTGAATCAAAAAAAAGTGATCTAAAACATTAATATTTTAAATAATAGGAATAATTCTTTTAAACAGAACCAGCAAAATCATTTAATATTTAATCAACTTAATTTCTACTTTTTTCTATTTATTTTGATATTGTAATTATATCAATTAATAATCTATCCATATTAGATATTTCTCCAGAACATAAATTTTCCCATAATTTAATTTTCTTTTTTAAAACACTAACTATATTTGAAACTATTTCATCTTTAACCATTTCTAATCTCCATATTTCTGTTACATTCATTTTAACAATATCATCGAATGTACTCTTTTCTTCAACATGTCTTAATTTGAGTGCATCTATAAATTGTTCTTCTGTTACTTTAACAATGTTAGAAAAGAAATATGAAAATTTAACTGTTCTACTCTATATTTATCTTAATTTAGTTAAAGATGAGGAACTATTTTATTTGAACAAAAACATAAAAGAAATATATTTCAAAGATAAATATTCAACATCTTCTAAATTAATTGAAAAAGATAGTTATTAAATTGTTGAGTGAAATTACCTTTTTACATATTGAGCTATTAATTCTTCATCAATTTGATTATTCTATAAAAATTTCATTGGTTAAAATATTAAAGTTTTATTTAATTTTGGATGAATATCAACCACTCCAGGTATTCCAACATAAGAATCATTTCTTCTACTTACATCTTTGATAGTTTTCTAAAATTAACTTACATCTAAATTTTATGATAAATTCTGTTGATTACTATTTTTATCTCCATTACTAAGAAGAGCAGTTTTAGATTAGAAGGATGATCGATGAGTCATACTTTCAAAATTTTAAGTGTATAATTTAGATAAGTCTTCTTTACATTCACAATTTAAATCATTACAATTTATAGTATGATTTTTTAATATAAAAAGAGTCTATATAAAAATATGAGAGTTATTTCTTGCTTATTCTATATACCAAACTAAGGCTTCTAATGATAAACATAGTTTCTTTGTATCTATTTGTTTCATAGATCCAGTTCTCATGTACAACAACAATTCTTTCCATTTCAAATTTTATATCTATTTAAATAAACAATAAAAAATTGGATATGAAATAATAAAGGTTTCAAATATATTATCTTTATTGATGTAAATTAAGATTTACTTTAATGAAGCTAACATTGCCAAAATAAATAATCCAGTACAACCCAACAAATAAATTTGATTTTCAAATGTGAGTTTATAAGGTATAAATAATATAAGATCTATAAGCATTAAAATACTCATTAATAATAGAATATAAGGTTGTATTGATAGAGATGCATTCCAATCAATAGCAACTACAAAAATCGTAATGATGTAATAAGAATAGGAAATTAAATTGAAATTTCTGTACAATCCTAGTTAATTGAATTGGTAACTTCTGTAAAAATAAAAGTAACAAAACAAAATGATTGAATGTAGCACAATATTCAAGATTGGCACTGTGACCCAAGCACTACTTTATTTGCTAAACAATCCCATATTGATAGATAACTAGAATAAATCAAGTGACTACTATTGGGCAGGTGAGTTAAACTATGCATTCAGAAATCAAGGAAAGAATGAATCTAAGTTGTTTGAATTATTTGTTTGATATCATGATTTTATTTTAACTGCTGTATTATGAATATGATAACAACAATAAGCATCCATAAACAAACACATACAAAATTAAGAGTAGCATGTTTATAGGCACAAACAATATGTCTGGTGGATTAGTGAAAACACTCAAAAACTATCATTAATATTATTTAATACTTCATTAAAATACATATATCCTTAATTCTTCTCAATATTGATTGTAAAGCTCATTAATGATATAAAATTAATCAATATAACAACTAAGGCTTCAATATTGAACATATTTTTGTTATTAGCTATCTTTGCTATTTCTATTGATAGGGTTTGCCCAAAACTTTAATGCATTTTATATTTCATTTTCTTTGTTAATTTATATTAAATGGATAATAAATTTACAAATATCAACTCCTATATTGACGACCTTATTAAAAGTGGTTTATCCAATTAAGAACTTTTTCTAAAGGCTAAAAGCTTATATGAAAGTGAATAGACAATACTTAATGCAATGGCAATTTTTAATGTAAACAATAATTATTAAATAAAGTATATTGCAGATGCTGAAGATGGAGTTATGATTGTTTTATAGAATTCTTTATTATAACTATTGTAACATTAGGATAATAGAATCTAAGAATTAACAATACAAGTTATTTAGAAATTGATTTAGAAAAATAGTTTTCATTAATTAAGCACTCAAGTTTTAGATTTGTTGATAAATGTGATAATTTGGGATGATGTCTTTTTGAGTTATAATCAAAGTTATAGATTTGCATAAACACTTTTAAAAGAGTCTTTCCCAGACATGTAAAATAAGATTAAAGTAATGGAACCAATGTTTATGAATAAATATTATTTTACAAACAAGAAGGAATATTATATTTAAGGATTATTGGGATCAATGGAAATATTTCTTTAAAATAAATATAATATTGAAAAGGCTATTGAAGTTATTGAAATTATTCAAAGAATAGCAAGACATTAGAATAAATATGTTAGATTGTATGCTTAGAAATTTGTTCATCATTTATTTCCATTATTTGAAAGTAATGAATATTAAACCATTATTATTGCTACAATTTAATAAGGATTAATGGATGAATCACTTGAAGTAAGAATGTAAGCTCTTAAAGAATACTAAATTCTTAATCCAAAAAATAAAGATTGCTTTTTGATACCTTTACTTAATAATTGTCATACTGATAATTTAATGGAAATTGCAGCAAATATTGCTAAAGAGTAGTTTCCTTCTATTGGAGGACCTCCAATTCTAGGTCTTATTACTATTATAAGAGATAGATTTCTCAAAGAATGTCTTATTTATAATTATAATTGTACTACAAGTAGATATTATTAAGTAAGGAGTAGTGGATTATCAACTCTTTAAACTGTAATTTTATTTCTAAAATAAACACCAAATGCATTACCATATAAAGAAATTTTGAAAGCAGCTTAAAATTGTACTTTATATGAAACAGATCCTATAGTTAGATAAGCTGGATTTAGTTTAATGTATCATTTAATTAGGTTACATACGAATGAAATTATTTAATATCAATAACAAATAATTGAGAATTGCTTATTTCATCTTAGTGATGTACCTTTGGAATGCAAAGAATTTTGTGCAAAAATATTGGCATTATTTAAAGATCATATAGATTTAATAAAATTTTTAGAATAGAAAGTTTAATTGATTAAAGATAAAGAAATGGCATATTAAGATTTTATTGGAGTAGTTCCAAATACAGAGGAAGCTTAAAATAACCTTTAAAAAAGTTTAGATGCTTAAGGAGGTAAAGAGAAAGTTGTTAATAAACATTAATCTTAGACTTTACTTGGTATTACAATGTGTTTTAAGTAAATCTCTATTTTATAGCCAGATGAATAATTATTAAAATAGTTGATAATTTTAATATCTTCTTGTTTAAAATATATTGATTAATTAAGGCATTTAATTTTATAATGTTTAATTGAAGGATTATAAGAGTTGAAGATTATCAAAAGATTACCAATAAAATTATTAGATGAAACAGATATTTTGACATATATGAAATAATACAATGAGACAGAATTATTAAATAGGATAGGTGAAATTGTTGGGCCAACTATTTTGAAAGGGAGATTATGATATAATTGAATAGATGGAGTTATATCATTAATTACAATCAATATCCAAATCTCCAATTAATTTTTTAACATCATTAATTTATGAGAATATTTAATTTGATAGTTAGATTTCCTTAATATTTGGAAGAGGAGGAATTTAAGGAGTTGTTTAACCTATTATTGATCCATAGTAATTAAGTAATCCACATTCATCTTTGGAATCAATCATATCATTAATTTTCTCATTAAAATCTTACAATTTGAATTCAACTTCATTTAATCTACTTAAATATCCTTCCTATTATTCTAATATTGTTGGTAAATTATCTACTTCTTCAAGGAGTTCAGCTTATTTACTATTTAATAATTAATGTAAATTCTATAGATTAATATAATTAAAATAAATACTTAAATTTCTTAAGCTATTTATAATCTTAAATGATCTTAAATGGCTTATTATTCAATTTATTTCTTTTCTAATTCTTATCTTTAATTTTCTACTTATATTATACATTGATTATTTTATTCTAATTACTCTTCTAATTATTTTTTAATTAGAGGATATGATTTTTTAATTGTTTTAACTTCATGATTTTTATGAATCCCATGTATGATACATTCTGGACAAATACATTTGCTATTACAATCAAAACAATAATATGAAATTTCTTCATCAGGATGATCTACACAAAATCCTCTCATATGTTATATAAATGAATTCTCACTCTATTATTTACTCATATTTCTTTATGATTAATGTACAGAAACTTTAGCTTCAATTATTTAAACACTCTATTTCATTGATTTTTCTTTTGCATTCTCTTTATTTTCTTATCTTGTCTAAGAACGAGATTTAAGTTATTTCTCTGATTATAAATTTGATTTCTATTAGCATCCTGGTTTATGATTTGATCTATCTTATAATACATTATTTGTTTAATGAAGTTTTTCTAATTCATAAATACTATTAGCATCCAATTCTGTATTTGATGAACATATATCACAAACAAAAAACTATTTATTTACTTATATCTACCTTTTTGCTTCTTTTTGTTTACTATTATGAAAATGATCTTGCTGCACAAATTAAACATAAATCATGGCTACATGTTAACATTAGAATATCATCTGGTACTTTTAAACATTTACTACATTTTGAAACATTCATCATTTTTAAATTTTGTATGTTCGTTAACTTATTTATAAAAATAATAAAATTATAACTTATTTGTATTTCTAGCAATTTATATTAAATAAACAATTTATGATCATTCACAATTATCTACTTGCTTTAACAACCCAATCAAATGTACATAGCAAATAAACTTTATAATAATTCTTTAATATCTGAATAATTTATAAATTAATTTAATTTTAGCATTCTTTAATTTAAATCTCTCATATCCTTTAAATATCTAAAACTTAATAAATAATTTTCCAAATGCAAAAGTTCCTCATCATCATAATTATCATAAAATGATATTATTGGTACTCCATTTTCAATCTATTATCCAAATGAATAAGATGCATTATCTATCAAAAGTACATTCGATAATTTCCGATTTCCTAATACTCTAAAAATATATATCATTTACCTTAAATCTTTAACATAAGCCCCTTCAGGTGTCTATATACAATTTTCTCTATAAAGTCTATGAGAAATCCATTATTTTTTTGGATCTAAATAATCAATCACAATATTTGCATAATTTGAATGTGATGCAGTAAAAATAATTATTTCAAAATGTTTAGAGAGTGTTTATAACACTTTCTATGCATAAGGTCGAATATTTATTGAAGCTTGAACTATTTCTCCATTTTAAAATGTAATTGGAAGTATAACATCACCAATTACTTATGCATTTTCATTACAATGAATTAAAGTTTCATCTAAATCAAATACAATTGTTTTTAAATTATTAGCTCTTGGCAAATTCACAATCTTATCCTCATCAAAACTTAAATTTAATTTATTTGCAAATAATAATCCCTTTCATATATTTCTTTAATTTTACCTAGAATGTCTATTAAAAATGATCCCTTATTCTATCATCATTTTTATTTGATTCCTATTTTCTTAATGATTATATTACAGAAGATATATAATATAAGAACTAAATATTATAATTAATTTACAGGCTCACTTTGTTATGTCTCACTCATTTTATTAAAGTGAGTCTATTTTATTTCATTTGATTATTATAATCTATCTGATTTAATCAAGATACTATTTATAAATTATTTTTATTAACTCTTCACATTATTTCCATTTATTTATGTTACAAAATCCTTAAGTTATATTGCTTTTTTTTCTTAAGTTTATTTAAGTGAATTTGTGTAATAATTTTTAATATCTTTAATTTATGTATAAAGATTATATATTTATTTTACATCCTTTGTTAATTTCTTTTCATCTATAATTTTATCATTATTTTATTCATTTCCTTAAATAGGAAAATATTTAGCTAATAAACCTTATTATTTTTATTAATTTCTCTCTGTTTTAATATCCAAAAATTATTGATTACTAAATTCTGGTAAATCCTTGAATTTTACATTTTTTTATTTCTCTAAACACTTTTATATCTATTTTAAACTAAACTTCTTTTCTTCTTAATTTTCAACCGTATTTAATTTCAATTAATAATTTGATACTTATTCAGTTAACTTTCCATTTTACTCTTTAATTAATTTAGATGAAATGTGGCGCTATTAATAACTACTCTATTAAAGCTATGAAATATATGATTAATTTTTCATATCTTTTAAATATGCATATGTATTTTTCTAATTTTAATAAGAATTTTTATCATTTGCAGATGCTGCTCTATAAAATTATTATAGTGATGATGATTTTTGCATTCCACTATTCGATCTAAAATCTGATTTTTATTAATATTGATTGCTAATTTCCCTATTTTAAAGCTACTTCTTCTTTTACAATACAGCATATGAGTTTTCTTTGTCAATAGAAATTCCAAATTTAATATTATCACATTAGGATTACTTCTATAGTAAATCTATGTTCAAAATATTAATGAACTTCATTACCTGCACTTGAATAATTAAGAGTGGTCTTTTGCATTATAGATAATATTTTTTGATAAAAGTCTGTTTAATTTAATATTTTTTATAATTTTTAAGAAAACAATACTTTTATTCATTTTTTGAAGAAGAATTTCGATTTTATAAGACTCTTATAATAATAAAGAGCTATTTATAATTAAAGTCTATGAAGATATATAAATAAGATTTTATTTTAAATATCATATCTCATCCTTCATATTCTTCTACTTCCTCAAAATCTTCTTATTCATCATCTAAAATAATTCGTTTTTCATCTCCTTCATTTTGATAAATCAATGGAGCATTTTCTTTAGAAATAATGTCTTTGTAAGGATTTATTTAATTATCAATCTCATTCTTCATTAATTTCTATTCTTAACTCAAATTTAAATTGAATGTAACACCAATTTTTTTAGTTACATCTAATTTGTCATCTTTTTGAACTTCTTTTTTTATCTTATTAATTTTTAATTTATTTTTTAGTAATTCTTTACCATCAATTATATAATTTTTAAGAAAAGAATGTCCATTAGATTTTTTTAATACCATTGTAACCAACATATTATAAATTTTATATTCTTTCTCATTCTTTTATACTTTCTCATCACTTTCCATTAATTATTCAATTATCATTCTACAATTTGTAATATTTAAAATAGTTTTTAAATCTTTGTGTTTAAAATCTTTAGCAATCAATAAACTTATTTAAGATCTAAAAGGTTATTTAAAGATTTCTTTTATCATATTATAAATTGATTATTCAGCTAATTCTAATCCTGATATCAAAATTTCAATGCTTTTCATATTATCTTCCACAATTTGTTTTAAAACATTACTCAACGAATCTTCTTTAGTAATCAAATAAATATTATTCACATATTTCTTAAATCCATTTTTCTCTTAAAATTCAACTGAAGGATAGATATTTCTCCATAATGATCTAAAATTGTATTCTAAATCAATAATAAGGAGAGGTCTATAATTAATATAATATATAATTATTACCTTGTACTGTTAATATGATTAAATAATTAGTAATGTAAAAAGTAAAAGCAAGGATTATAATATTGTGAATCGAATTCCAAAGTAACAATCTGGTTTTCAGTACTACTTGTTAGCAGATAATTTCCATTTAAATAGTTTAAAATTGTTTGGGATTGTTGCATCATAAATATTTTATTAAGTGAAAGAATTAAATTTTAAATTAAAAATTTCTATATTTACAACTCTATATAATGCCTTTTTAATTATCATAATTTGATCTTTGAAATTAGTTACTAATTGAGCTATTTGGATTCTTCTATTTTATTCACCAGTTTTTTAATTATAAACTATTAAAGTAAGATTGTTTCATCCTTATTCTCTTCCTATTATACTTTTTTTAAGGCTTCTTCAGTCTAATCATTCTCTAATATCAATATAAATAAAAACATACATAATTCAGGTAATAATGAATCATAATCGACTTATAATTCATGTAATAACTAAATTGCTTTATTATATTTTGCTATGGTTTCTCCATATTATTCCAAACTCTAATGATCATCCTCTGTCATTTTTTGATATTGCTTGCTTAATTATTCTTAATCGTTTGTCTAATATAAGTATATAAATATTAACAATTTCTGTAATTTTTTATTAATATTTATCTGTCTATTTGATTACTTAATCTACATCATTTAAAATAACTTATTTCTCTTTTTTTATTAGGCTTTTTAATCCTAAAATTAATTTCCTAATTATTATATTAAAATCTTACATATCCTCAGGCTTTTATTATTGCTTTAATGCTTATGTTATTTATTTTTAACTCTCCATGTAGATCCTGGATGATTTTAATGAATCAAAAGGAATTTTTCTAAAATTTACAATACTTTCTTACTATTCCGATCTCTTCACTTATTGTATTCTAGTAGTATTTTCTTTCTTTTATGTGTTTTACCTTGAAGAGCTTTAAAAATTACTAATAAAATTACTAATTACTAATATTTGGAGATTTATGAGGACTTCTTGATGAATCAAATGAAGACAGTTCTTTGTTCCTAGATCTCTATTTAATTTATTTGAATGAGGGCTGTCTTTGAAATTTTAACTTGATACTTTTGAGTTGTGAAATCAACAGATGCATAATTTTTATTGAATAACTAATATGTGCTTGATTCCTTAAAAGGACTCAATTTATTCAAAGGCGACAATCCTGGCAGTTTTGACTTAAAAAAAGAGATATGCTTTAAATCTCCTCTTAATTTATTTAAAGCATTTCCTAAGGGTTACTCTTGCTTTTTATTACTCATCTTCTCTTTTGCTGTAATTGACTTAATAATATTTTAAATTATTTATATAATATTTTCATAATATTTAATCCAGATAATTCATTCTGCATTTAGAAGTCATTTATAAATTTTAATTTGAATGAAAATTAATTTAGTAAGAAGTTTAGATATATTCTATAAATCTTCAACATCAAAAAGTAGTTCAATTTTATCTACTTTTAAATTAGATCAAGGTGATTTATCTAATTAATTGACTAGATAACATTGTTTTATATTGAATAAAAACGCTTATTCTTATTTATAATTATTATCACATTTAAGAATTGATATAATTTATATAATTATACAATTAGAATTGGAATTATAATTTAAGTAAAAAAGGAAATTCAAAAAAGAAATATTCAATCATTTGTATTATTTTATAACATAAATGTTTTTTAATTTTCCTAATTTTAGATGGAAATGAGATTGTAAATTTTTATAAATCTAAATTACCTTCTTTAACATTCTATTTTTTAGGAGATCGATTTTGTTATTAATTTTTTAATACTTTATATAAAAAATTAGTATTTTTTTAAATCAATTCTATTGTGTAAATTTTATTATCTTATAAAAATAGAATAATTTATATTTTTATGGAATAAATACTTATTTATCATACATTTGTCTTTTTTAATATTATTTAAAAAATTAGCATCTAAGAAAATTCTGTAATCTTATAATATTAATTATCGTTTATAATTTCTTTGATAATTCTCTAGTCTTTAATTGAAGCTCTTAGTTTTACTAAATTTTTTTATTTTATTAAATTTTCTTATTTTTCAATTTCGCTCTTAATTTACTAATAATCTCTTTCCATTTCATCAATCAGCTTCTTAGAGTAATTTTTAAAGAGAATATTTTAATATGTCTATAATAAATCTTAAGTTTCCTTCTCTTTTTTAATGATATCTTCCATTTATTCACTTTATTTTTCTTTAAAGGCATTAATATAACTGCCTTCCTATATACGTTGTTAGTTCTTTTTCAATTTCTATGCATTTTCTTTAATTCTCTCAAAATATCTTGTTAAGTGATACTACATTATATAATTAACTAAAGCATTTAAAGTTTCAAATTATTCTGCATTTTTTTAATATTCATTTTTGATTTCTTAAATTTAATTATAATCAGGAATTTATTACATTAATGAGTCTATTTAAGAATTTAAATCATTAATTTTTTTTTTTTATTGTTAATTTTATTCTTATGAAATTATGCTATTTATTTCTAATGATAATTGTTCTTCTTTTTATTTTAAAATTACATATTTATCAAATTTATCCATATTTTAAAATTAAAATTCATTTGGTTTATTCTGTACATTACTAAGTATTCTTTCTAATTATTAGGTTTTCTCTTAATTATAATTTTATAATCTTTTTAGTATTTTTTCCAATTTGCTGGATTATTTTTATTTTGTTAAGAAAGGTTATAATTCTTTATTAAATAACTGCTAATTATGTTAATTAATATTGTAATATTTCTATAAGGTTTCTATTTCCTATATCAATTAATTATACAAATCTTCTTTTTTTTCCTTAATTTTTTGAATATATTGAATTTTATCTTAATCAATATTGACTGATTAAAGTGCTTTTGTAAATTTCATATATTTTTATTATAATTCATTAGTTAATTGTAGTAATTCTTTTTCTATTCCACTTTTGTTTTCAGCTCCAATATTTTAAATTACTAATTATAATTAATTAACTTGTTCTAATTCATCATCATGTAATTTTTTTAGTTTCTCTTAAAATTATTCCAAATATATTATTTGATTTTTAATTTCATAGGATATTAATTAATTAAATCCTTTAAAATTATTAAATTGTTCTAGAATTTAATAGATATTTTAATCAATTTTTCTTTATTTTTCAATTATTAAATTCCTAGTGTATTCATTGTTACAATATTGATTGTTAATTAAATTATTTATCTAAGTTTTTAGTGAATTCATTTTATCAATAAATTCTTTTATTTATCCTTCAATATTTGTTAATTTTTTTTTTCTTTCAGAATTTTGTTATTCAATTTACTAATCTTGATAGATTTATTCATGTAATTAATTGTATTATTTTGAAAATTCATTTAAATCTTGATTAATTGACTCTATCATTTGAATGAACTATTTATAATTTTTAAATATTTCTTCAGCTTATTATTAATGCCAATAATTTAACTAATTAAAACAATTTTTTATTTTAGAAATTATTTAATCAATTTTATTTTTATATTTTTCATTCTTAGACAGATATTTAAATTTATCTAAGTAATCACTTAAATTATGAGCTAAATCATCTAGTTAAATACGTTATTCATCAATAAATTTGTTATCAATTAATTCAATAAATTTATTTGTCTCATCAATTTAATTTTTAAGTCTATTTTATGATTATTAAATTTCCTCAACTTTAATATTAAAAGATTAATAAGTAATAATTTGCTTAGATAACTCAAATTAATTAATATTATTTTCTTATTATTATAAGACTTAAAAATCTTAAATAATTTTTTAATATAAACCGATAACTTCTTAAAGTTTTTCTAACCCTTATATTTAATATTAAATTTTCTCATAAAACTTAATTTTGTCCTAAAATTTTTAAATATTTCCTTAAAACGAATCACTTTTTTATTTTAAGTTATTAAATTATAATTAAATTTTTTGTTTTTCTTAATTTAATTGTTCTTTTTGTTTCTACTGTTCTTTTTGCTATTATTCAATCCTTTCTTTATCATTTACCNTCTATTTAAGAATTTAAATCATTAATTTTTTTTTTTATTGTTAATTTTATTCTTATAAAATTATGCTATTTATTTCTAATGATAATTGTTCTTCTTTTTATTTTAAAATTACATATTTATCAAATTTATCCATATTTTAAAATTAAAATTCATATGGTTTATTCTGTACATTACTAAGTATTCTTTCTAATTATTAGGTTTTCTCTTAATTATAATTTTATAATCTTTTTAGTATTTTTTCCAATTTGCTGGATTATTTTTATTTTGTTAAGAAAGGTTATAATTCTTTATTAAATAACTGCTAATTATGTTAATTAATATTGTAATATTTCTATAAGGTTTCTATTTCCTATATCAATTAATTATACAAATCTTCTTTTTTTTCCTTAATTTTTTGAATATATTGAATTTTATCTTAATCAATATTGACTGATTAAAGTGCTTTTGTAAATTTCATATATTTTTATTATAATTCATTAGTTAATTGTAGTAATTCTTTTTCTATTCCACTTTTGTTTTCAGCTCCAATATTTTAAATTACTAATTATAATTAATTAACTTGTTCTAATTCATCATCATGTAATTTTTTTAGTTTCTCTTAAAATTATTCCAAATATATTATTTGATTTTTAATTTCATAGGATATTAATTAATTAAATCCTTTAAAATTATTAAATTGTTCTAGAATTTAATAGATATTTTAATCAATTTTTCTTTATTTTTCAATTATTAAATTCCTAGTGTATTCATTGTTACAATATTGATTGTTAATTAAATTATTTATCTAAGTTTTTAGTGAATTCATTTTATCAATAAATTCTTTTATTTATCCTTCAATATTTGTTAATTTTTTTTTTCTTTCAGAATTTTGTTATTCAATTTATTAATCTTGATAGATTTATTCATGCAATTAATTATATTATTTTGAAAATTCATTTAAATCTTGATTAATTGACTCTATCATTTGAATGAACTATTGATAGTTTTTTAATTTTTCTTCAGCTAATTATTAATGCCAATAATTTAATTAATTAAAACAATTTCCTATTTTAGAAATTATTTAATCAATTTTATTTTTATATTTTTAATCCTTAGACAGATATTTAAATTTATCTTAGTAATCATTTAAATTATTAGCTAAATCATCTAGTTAAATACGTTATTCATCAATAAATTTGTTATCAATTAATTCAATAAATTTATTTGTTTCATCAATTTAATTTTTAAGTCTATTTTATGATTATTAAATTTCTTCAACCTTAATATTAAAAGATTAATAAGTAATAATTTGCTAAGATAACTCAAAATAATTAATATTATTTTCTTATTATTATAAGACTTAAAAATCTTAAATAATTTTTTAATATTATCCGATAACTTCTTGAAGTTTTTCTAGCCCTTATATTTAATATTAAATTTTCTCATAAAACTTAATTTTTTCCTAAAATTAAAAAATATTTTCTTAAAAGGAATCACATTTTTAATTTATATTAGTAAATTATAATTAAATTTTTTGTTTTTCTTAATTTAATTGTTCTTTTTGTTTCTACTGTTCTTTTCGCTATTATTCAATCTTTTCTTTATCATTTACCTACTTTTCAAGTAACCTTTATTGTTCTGTAATTTAATTATTAACGTTATTTTATTCTTATATATCTGATGAAATTTCTAAAGATATTTTATTATCCTATCCGTTAATTTACTCTAATTAAAAAGCTTATTAAATAGTTAATTATCTCTGTTCATTTTATTTAACTTTTTCCTCTTATTTTTTAAGTTCATTTTCTATGAAATTTATTAATTAATTTTTTATTTAAACTTATGTATCTAAATCCTTTATAAACTATAATTTTTATTTTAAGTTTGAGATAAACATTTATATTGTATTTTACTAAGATTACAATAGAATAAGTAAGGATTATTATTTTTCTTCTAATTATTTTAAATTTTCTTATTGTTGTTTTTTTTCCAATTCAATTACTTTCTTTGAGTATTCTAGTAAATATTTTTTTTAAACATCTATTTCTACTTATTCTTTAATCCATTTTTCCTTACTTTCAAATTTTTATTTAATTTCCTCTTCTTTTTCCTATATTGCCATAAATAAATATTGTTCAATCTGTTGTTATTATTCTTCTTCTTACTTTTTTTTGAAATAATCAATTTCATTTTAAAACTTTATTTCTTATTAAATTTTCATTTAAGCCAACTATTCTTTATCTTTTTCCTATTATTGAACTTTATCTTGTAATTATTTTAATTCTCTTTTTTTTTTTCTAATTTACTCTTCTAATTCTTTTTTCTGTTCTTCTTCAATTTTTTACATTTTATTAGTCAACACTTCTTCTTTTTTCTTTTCTATTTCTCTTTTTATTTACGCCATTTCTTCTTCCTTCTTTAATTCAAACTCTATCATTTTTAATTCATATTCTACTTTCATCTTCTTTTTTAATTCTTATTATATCTTTTCTGTTTCCTCCTATTTCTTTTTTTCTTTCTCGAATAACTAATTTTATTGGATTGGAAGTTGTTAAAATGGAAATTATTTTTTCTATTAAATATAAATTGCAATTAATTCTTTCAATTATATTCTTTCTTCTGGTATTTTTCTAAGCATCCTTTTGATTAATTCTTTTTCTTTTATTTGTATATATTGATTATTTTAAATTAGTTAATCAATTTATTATTAGCTACTATTTAAGATTTATTTAAATATTTCTTTTTCACTATTACCTAAGATTATATCAATTAAAATTACCACTAAATAATGTTTATCCTGTTAAAATTTCATACCAAATTACTCCCAAAGACCAAATATCAACTGATTTGTCATAAAAATAGTTTTCTATTTTTTTTATCACTTCTGGTGCCATATAAATTAGTGTTCCTGCTTGTTGGGTCTAATTCTTATTATTTTCAGTTTCTTTAACTAAACCAAAGTCAATCAATTTAATAATTTTTTGATTGTTTGGCTAATTAATATATACAAAGTTTTCTGGTTTTAAATCTCTATGAAATAATCCCAAATCATGAAATTAATCAACACCTTACACCATCTAAAATAAAATAATATTGTTGTATTACTTATATAAAATATTAATTTTTTTGATCATAGGTTAATCCTTTATAATCTTATGTTGACATATATTTGTAGAAATCTCCATCAGCAAACTCCATAATAATTCTTGAAGCTTAATTCTAAATTTATTATACGTTTTTTATCCCAATTATATGGCTGAAATTCTTTGCATAAATTGCTTTAATTGCTTTTAATTCATTTTGATTGGTTGTTTAGTATTCTTTAATAGCCACAAATTCTTTCGTTTAGGTATTTTGTCCCTTAATCACAATACCTTCTTTTCCTTGTCCAAGTTTTTCTAATTTATAGTATTAGACACCATTAATAAAAATGATATTTTACACTTAGCCTTGATAATTTAACATTTTAGATAGTTCTAATATTATAAAATAATGATTTAATTAATGCTTTTTTAGAAATCATATTCACATTAATAGAATTTGAATAATCAAATTCTTATAAAATAAATTATAATTATCATTATATATACATAAATCCTTATTTTTATTATGATTATTTCAGAGATTATTTTGCTAAATGAGTTTCTATAATGGCTATAAAGTTTTATTAGTCTAATTATTTGAATTTATTTGAATTTAAATAATGCATTTATTCTAAGTGGATGTTAATTGTATTTAAATAATTAATGGAATAAGAAAATAAGAATAAATTAAAAATGTATTTGATCAAATCTTATAAGATGAATAAGAGTTAAGAATTTCAAAGGAATATTAAAAAGAATCTACAAATAAAATTTCTAGAAATTATCAATACAATTCCTGAAAATGCCGTGTAAAATCTAATTTAACTTTTAAATTAATCTAAATCTAATAAATTAATCATAAAACTATTTAATCTAATAAAATCTACAGATTAAACTATGATGCTATTCATAATATCTCCTAATTTTCAAATAAAAAAATAAAACAAAGAAGTTAATAAATAAATTAAATTAATACAATAAATTAGGGATCAGAAAATTATCATAAATAATTTTTGGAAAATATGATTTATCTTTTTTAATATATAAACTTGAACATTGTAAATGATTAATTAAAAAGAAATATATAAATAAAAATTTTTTAATTAAATTTGTTTTATTAATATCATTTAATTATAAAGCATTTGATTTCTATTAATGATATTTTGATCTTATATGATTTTTATCACTGTTTCTCTAATTGCATATATTATATATTTAAATTGTTTAACAATCTACCATAACTCAGAATAAATTAATAAATAATATGAATATTTGTAGAATAACCCACATTTATATTGCATAATTATCAATTTCTTTCAGATTCATCATCAGAATGTGTCTGCA